TAAATTTATTCAAGCTAAAATTATTGTTCTTATATATTCTCAAACTTTTAAAACTTTTAATTACAAAATCTCAAAAATATCAAACTAAAGAAAACCAAATTGCAATAAAAAATTTACTTCAAAATCAAGAAAACTAGTCCTGGAAAAAAGTTTTAAAAACCTTTTATCAGACAACATTAAAAATTATTATTATTATTCCATTTAAGAAAATACAAGAAAAATCCATTTAAAAGCATTTCTGTTACTTTCTCAATATTAAATAAACTTTTAGAAACAGCTTTATCAAATTCAATTTTAAGACTGATATTTTCAAAACAAATTATCCTTTAAATTATTAATCAAAAAGCAATACAAAATCAAAGACCTTTTATAATCACAATTTAAAATAAAACCCCTTTCTGAACCAAACCAAAAATATTCAAGATAATTTCAATCGAAAAAGATTTTAGAAACAATAAATTTGTTTTACTACTATAAACAACCATATTTAAGAAATAAAATCCGTAACACGAAACATTCACATTTAAAACTTTAAGAATTTCAAATTAAATTTTAACTAATTCATAGTTTTATAAAATTTGGTTCAACCTTTAAAACTATTTAACTAAATTCATAGAATTTGAAAAATGTGCGACCAATTTAAAAATTTCTCTTTAATAGATATTAGTTATCATTCAACTTCTAATCACTTTATATAAAAGTCTGGTTTACCGAAATTCACCGATCTCAAAAGAAATTGACATGCCTTTATATTTATTAAACAAATTCAAAAATATTCATTAAAAAACATAACCAAAAAGCGACAATAAGATATCATTTCCAAATGTAGAAAACTGAAAATTATTATTTACATTTTTATTCCACAAAAACGGTCTCTGTCCTTAATATCAAAAATAATATTTACATATCTAAATTATTTTATTTTAGAACCAGCCAAACCAAATCCAAAAATCAAATTTCATCTTTCGGCTCCTCTGGCAATCATCAAAATTGAAAACTGAAACCAAAATTACAAGCAAAATTCAACCACTAACCGGCCACAAAATTCCAAATTCAATCTAAAATTTAATCCAAAACATTTTAACAGATCAGGTAAACAAAACTATAAACAAAATCCAAAAGCAAACAAAACCAGGAAAATGTAGAAAAATTTTTAGAAGTATTTCAAATGACAATAAGAAAAATCCGAAATTCCAAAATCCAATCAAGACCTTGCCAAAATTAATAAGTCGAAAAGCAAACAAATCCTGTTCAGAAGTCGCAACATTCAAGGAACCTTCGGTGCATAATTATTACCACATTAAGATGATTAAGTATACGCAGCCCAGTCATTAAATTCAGAAAACAAAACAAAGCCAAAAATTCAAAAATGAGAGAGAGTAAAAGAAAAAAAGAAAACCAGCTAAATTTCAAAAAGGCAGTATTATAAATTACAAGAAATTGCGGAAGTTTTAATGCGACAAATGTCAGGAGCAAAAACCCACCAAAGCACCAAAAATTCCGAGCTGGAGCTGGCGAAGAAGACGCGACAGGAACAGGAACATGGTTAGGGAAACTCCTGGCAACTTTCTGGCCAAAATCTTACAAATGGCGGCCAAAAGAGCGAGGCAAGCGGCAAACGGCAGATAAATCACAACGAAACAAAACAATTTCCAGCTCTAATGCAAAATTCAAAATCCACAAGAACAAAAACTGAAAGCTGAAAACTGAAAACTAAAAACTGAAACAGAAGCAGAAAACCGAAACACCAAAAAAACAAAGGCACGCAATTTCAAAAGAAAACCTTTTCGCATAGAAGGGGGTTGAAAAAACCAGAAACCAAAATCAGTTGAGCCGGCAAAATCATTATACCAGGCAACATCCATCTTCAAAAGATTCAACGATGACCACTTTGATCCGCCCCAAGAGAGGCCCATCAAGCCCATTACTTTCGCCCGAAGGCCGCCGCAGAAAAAATCCGATATTCCGATGAAACATACATAAACTACAAACTTAACCCAAATCCAATTCGAAATCAAAATTATAATCAAAATCAAAATCTCAAACAAAATGAAAGCAGCAGCAGCAGCGACAATCGCAGCGCCAGCAGAACCGCAACTTTAAGTAATATTCGAGACGAGTGTCACAAGCACAGTTGCAAAACTTCAACTTCAAATCAAAACCCAGCTCCAGACTCCCAAACTCCCAGACTCCCATTGAAATTGTGGTCAGACTTGGTTTCTTTGGCAAAAGTTCGAACCATCATCACCATCATTCCATCCAGCATCATGTAGCTGAAAGCACATCAAACAAAACTCCAAATTTATATAAACTACTGGCAATAGCCGAGGTCGAGGCATAATTGCCATCAATAAATAAAATATGGCTGGCATGAGGCATAAACTGCACAGACACTCTGCCAAGAAGAGACACCCAATCCAAAAGAGTCACCCATTCTCCATATCCAGTAGCATCCTCCCAGTCAATGGCCACTAGACAGCAGCAGTAGAACATTTTGATTTATAAATTCATGGCGAAAGTTGCCCAGCCAAGTGGCAGCCGACTATGCCACGATGACTATGACGACACACACCACCCAGTGACTTGGCAAACAAGAAAATGCAAAAACCGTCTTATGAAATTACACATTTCCGACTTGTACTAGCAAAAACTGTTAAAACACCCAAGCCGAAGCCCAAAAAAAGCCCAAATTCAAGCAACCAAAAATTCACAACGAAGAAGCAGTTAGCAAAGCTCGAGAACACCTCCACCCCCACAAAATCCGGCCCAGAAATTTAGTTATGAATTTTATTTACAACACACAGCCCCATCACTATCAGAGAGCAGCATCTTCCACCTTTGGCTAGCAGAAAGAAAAAAAAATGAAATTAATAATATAAAAAAAAAACTAAGAAAAGTATCTAGAAAGTTTCGGGCAATTTGGAAATTTGCAAAATCATTGAGACAAACGCGAGAAGCACCCACGAAGAGTAGCAAATGGAATCTTGTACAATAGTTCTATTGAAAGACATTCAAAAATGAGACTAAATTAGAGAAAAAGCATATCCTTTCCGACCAAGATCTACGCAAAGAAACAGACAGATAGAGATAGATAGAGAGAGACAGACAAGCCAATTGAAAGGAGGCAGAGTATATATATACATATATATTCTATAGCCAGAACAGGAAGAAAAAGGAAAAAAAAAAAACGTGAATAGAAAAAGAACATTTCGGACACAAGGTTGGGGATACCTAGTGTAATTGCTTAGACTTAAGAGCGTTGCACTTAGCCAAGTGCAGTGCCGACTGACCCCGCCCTAGAACCACTCTCCTCCCCTCTAGACAATGGAAATTCCCCATCGGGTAGATAAAAAAAAATACAAAATGAATGACAAAACGTTAGCTTCCCCTTAGGCCTCTTTAGACCCAAAAAAAAAAAGAAAAATAACACACGATGATCAGGAACTACGATTAAGCGCGAAGAATTGTACCACGTAACTACACTCTGTATCCCCTTAGTTAAGCTAAAATTATACGAGAAAAACGTGAAAAATTGCACAAAAGACGCACAAAAAAGCAAAAGAAAAACGAAAACTAATGTAGATAATGCCAATCCTTTTGCCTAAAATTGCAATTATTCGAAATTTCGCAATCGAATTGCGAAACGTTTTAGACGAAACGATTGCCGCATTTTTTATGTGATTTTATATATACATTCAACACACATACAAAACACACACACAAGTATATTTTTATATATCTTATTTCGATATTCTCCCTACTATCATTATCGTCGCCACATTCAAAACTTATTATTTTTCGACAAATGTGATAAACAAAAATTAAAAAAAAACATCAGAAGAACAAAAATCCTTCAAGAAAAAAAAACTAAATCAAAACTGTGTTAATCAATCTTTGATAGATCTAAATAATGATGAAAATAATTCATTTTCAATAATTAGGTTAAAAAACGAAATTCATGTAAACAAAAATATCATTCAGCTTAAACCGACTCAAAATCACATTTAATCCTTTGTACGAACATATATATTTTAAATTTGTAAATCAACCGCACAACCTCGAAAACACATAATTATTGTAAACATTAGAAATAGTGACATTACTATTATCAAACAAAAATCAATAAAATTGTACAAGCCAATTTGCTCTAATAACAAAACAATCAAACTGAGTTTTATTTAATTTTAACTACATTATGGTAATCGGTTATTTTAAGAAAAGAGAGAAAGTGTGGAATATCATCATCTATGTCCAAACTAAATTAAAAAAATTTCCCAAAGCAACTTGAAACGGTAAGAAAATATACGAATTGCTAAATTATTTAAGAATAACATATATTAATAATTTCCAAAACGTTTAACAGTACAACTGGAATTTAAGATAATCACTTAACTTCGAAGATCTGCACAAATTGGCTCACATCCTTGTAAAATATATACTTAAACTTGACAACATCTGAAATCAGTAGAAATGAGATTCAATTGTTGGAGATCGTTACGAAAAAATCAATACGGAATGCCAAAAATACCTCATATGTATAATAATCTGTTTTATTTTAGTTATCTTAACCTTAAAGTTTTTTAATCTAAAGGAAAACTTGTACGTGATGCAAATACTTTTTGGTATACTTTCTCTCAGAAGACAAAAAAAGAGCCAAAAAAACAAAAGTCGACATTTTTCGGTTTCATATGATAATCCCAGCACTATGAGTCACATCATATAAACATTGCTATTGCGAAAACTTTCACAAGTTTGCATAAGATATATTCGCCTTCGATAACCGCACTCTACTGTAAATTCATTCAAGTGCCAACCTCACATGGCAGAGTAAATGATAAGACTGTTTACAGTTGAAATTAAGATATTCAAATTGTTAAAGATAAGATAACCGACTCATTCAATGGCCATCAGCCATTTTATTTCCCTTAAAGAGTATTTTAAATAATATTCGTTAATAGAAAAACACAAGTTGTTTCATTGACAGTGAAGAGTAGCATGCATTGAGGTTGGTCAATATTCGTCATCGCTTTATTACGACTTTATATTGCAGCGTCTTAGGTTAACAATAACATTCAGTGCACAGTTGATATTTAAGAAAAGTTCCACGTTTGCTTTATTTTGACTACTACTGATGGTTCGAAAAAAGTTCGATTTTCTGTTGTTTTTCTATCGCGAAATAAAATAATAAATAACCAAAGATTAGTTTCATGTTTAAGAGGCTAATATCAAATGAAGGCCGTGGACGCAATTAAACACAATTCACTCTACAAGCCGGCCACAATAATCGTTGGATTCTCCACAGCTGCCTTGATTTTTCGCAGGAACAGTACTGCCTCACGACCATCGATGATTCGGTGATCGTAAGTCAGTGCGATGTACATCATTGGGCGAACCTTGACCTGGTTTTGCAATACATTTAACATTAATACAATAGGTAGATAAGATTATGATATCCTGGAAAACCCACCTCTCCTTTAACAGCGATCGGACGCTCAAAGATGCCATGCATGCCGAGAATGGCACTCTGTGGTGGATTGATGATGGGCGTGCCCATCAGGGATCCAAACACTCCGCCGTTGCTAATGGTGAAAGTGCCGCCATCCATGTCCTCCACGGTGATGGCATCCCGCTTTGCCTTATCGGCCAGACCGGCCAACGCGATCTCAATGTCAGCATAGTTCATGCTCTCCACGTTACGGATGACGGGAACCACCAAGCCGCGGGGCGTGGCCACAGCCACCGAGATGTCCACGTAATCGCGGTAAACAATGTCCTGCAAAATCAAATCAGTTATGAACGGTTGGCAACAGAACATTAAACATTCGTCATATCGCCACGGGAAATTGCATAAACAAAAAATGAAAAAAAAATATATGGTAGACTGATAAGGGCAGTTTAAACAGTATGGCCTATCAAGCTACGTCACGGGCGATAAGGCAATTATAAGCAGAGGGCGGAGCGGAGGCGTGTTTACCGTGCCATCGATGACAGCGTTCACCACGGGCTGATCCTGAAGCGCATAGGCACTGGCCTTCGAGAAGATGGACATGAATCCTAGCTTGATGCCGTATTTTTTAACGAATGCATCCAGATTTTCCTTGCGGAAGTTCATGGCGTAACTGAAATAAGAAGGAAAGGGTTTAGTTGCCAAGTATAAAGGTAATTTTTCATTAAAAGTAAGATATTATTAAAAACATTTCTTAAACAATTATGCTCTCAAACAAATAAAAAACAATGTTTTGAATGCTTTATGCCTTGATAAGGTTATAAGTACAAGACCCCGCCTGTTTTCTTATTTCTGAGCGGGGTGACTTTAAAGATTATAAAAACTCTAAAAGACTGAAAACCACGCAAACAATGATTAGGAATAATTTGGAAAAGATCTAAAAACCTTGGATTAATGTCAAACTAAAAGAAGAGAAGGATGATTAATGGTTCTATGCTCACCTCATGTCGATCTCGTTAAAGGTGGTGAGCATGGCACATGTGTTCTGGGCATCCTTCAAGCGGGCAGCAATCTTCAGACGCATGCGGTTCATCTTGACGCGCTGCTCTGACCGTGTTCCTAGGATCTGACGCGATCCATCAACAGGTGGCACCTTGACCTGGGCAACGGCCGGCTTAAGGGCGGCCACAGGAGCAACTGGCGGCGGACGAGGCGCTGCTTTTGGTGGCGGCGGTGGCGGCTTGGCTGCAGCGGGAGCAGCTGGAGCAGCTGGAGCAGGAGCAGCCTTGGGTGCGGCAGCAGCGGGTGCTGGAGCAGCTTTAGGGGCAGCAGGAGCGGGAGCAGCTGCCGCTGCTGGAGCTGCCTTGGCAGGCGCCGCACCGGGCTTAATCTTGAACAGAGCCTGGCCGGGCTTGACGGTGTCGCCGTCCTTGACCAGGATGTCGGTGAGGGTGCCTGCGAAGGGAGCGGGCACGGCAACAGTGGTCTTGTCGGTCTCGATTTCCATGACGGCCTCGTCGGCGGCGAATGAGTCACCTACCTTGCAAGTGAATCTGTTGGGGGGATTGACCATTAATGAGTGATGAACCTGTTACTGAAAACCAGCTTTGTGCTCTTACTTGATGTCACCCTCGGCGATAGAGTCTGCAAAGGGAGGCACATTCACGGTCTGCTCCGACCACATGCTCGACGTGGTGTGGATGCCTTGCCATCTGAGAAGCCTAGAATTAGATGAATTTGAATGAGATGTGCCAAAGAGACTGTGCATAGCTTACCTGGTGGCCTCCTGGCACCGATGCGAGGCATCTTGGCGTAGCAGTGGCTGCTGCTGGGCGGCACAAACGACTAGCCGGGAATATTGACGAATGCAGCGCTTCAACTGGCGGATAGAGGCAAAAATTACTGATTGCACAACCGGGAATCAAAATCTGCTGACAGATCACGTGCAGCTGGCTTCCAAAACAAAAGTTTTTCCCATTTTTCAGCCGCACACGCACATACACACACACACCCATACAATTACATAATCGCAGAGTGCCAAGCGGGCAGCAAATATGAGATATAAATGGATATATATTTCGGTAGAGCATATAACGCACACCTGACGGGCCCCCGTTCATCTGAGAATCCATCAGTAGAACAGAATCTTACCTCATTACTCCGCAGGGCTCGCATTCCTAAAGTTTGAGGCACCCGCCTCGTTACGATCGAAATTATTCCCGTCATTGCACCGACTCTGTTGCGCGAATTTCGGTTCGGAGGCTCAAAAACTCTAAATTTGTTTGAAAATACACGAATTTAAAACAGAGTTAGCGGCCAAGGCAAAGCAACGTCGATTTCTGCAGTCCGCCCCTTTCCCTTTTAAAAATACCAATTTCTTATGTCATGACAGAAATGGCGAAAGCGTCACCTGCCGGAAAAGCGTTGTGAGCGGGGAAACAGCTGATTGTGGCATTTAGTATTTACTTACAAACCGGTATTTTTTTAGTAAATTCTCGGTTGATACTAAAATATTTATCCTCTGGTAACACTGACATTGCTAAAAGTTTCGCTAACGTTGCAAAACGAACGAAAATCAATCCAAAATCCACCCGCGTTCAAAATGAGTTCCAAGTCCTTTTTCGACAGCGACGAAGATGCCGCCCAGTCCAACAAATTGGCAAGGAAAGCCAAGGAATCGCCCTTCATGCTAGTAGGTAAGTCGTGCAAATTTCCTCTCAACGAAAGTTTGGCCTCCGTGACGTCACATGGAAACTTTTGGCAATTAGAGACAGCTATATAATGCGTGTGCGGGGAAGTCGGCTAATCTTGACCTTGGCCATGTAAATCAACCGCTGAGGTTAACGGAAATCAGAAGACTCATTCAAAATTAGGTGACATAACTGTAAATACTGAATGATCTGTCATTGATCTGGAAAGCTAATGATGTAACGGGAATATTTCGCAATTTCGTGCGAATTGCAATGGGAAATTGGATTATCACATCCGTGACGTCACGTTGCCATCTGATCTTGGCGCGTGTTCGAACTATCTCGCCTGTCTGCGTTTGTGACAATTAACAGCTGACGCTAACAAGTGTTGATAGTCTGGCCGATTTTTCCGCTTAGCTATTATATTATATATTATGTATCTCTTTGCTATTATATCATTTATTTTGTATCCCTTATATATGCTTATTAAAATAAAAATATTGACATAAAAATTTGTTAAAGGATAATTAATTTATTTTTTCTTAGATTTTTATTCTTAATAACATACATACACACACACATATGCTTATATTTACGCGACGTCTGGCTTTTATCAGCTGTTGGACTGTCAGCTAGCAACAAAAAACTATGATAAAGTGAAACTAATAGGTCAAATTTGACTTTTACTTGCAGGTATTGCAGGATTCGTGGCCGCCGGAGTTATTGGAGCATACAAGTACCGAAACCGTGGAACGATGAGCACTAGTGTGTTCCTGATGCAGTTGCGAGTTGCCGCACAGGGAACCGTGGTTGGTTGTCTGACCGTTGGATTGGCCTACAGTATGGCGAAGGAATACTTGTTCGACAAGGCGCCTAAGGAAAAGTAATGGGCAGTTCCTACTTAGTTAATGCTAGTTGTAGTTTTAGATGTCATTCGTACACAAAAATCCGAAAACCAATCGATATCCCAAATATGCTTGTAAACTAGTTATATTCCCATATCAATCTCTTCATATTTGTATATTTTGAACTTTATACCTACCTTAACCGTTATTTTATATTTATTTATCTGTTGATCCCTTATTGGTTTATCTTACTTATTCCCCCTTTTGATTTGTTCTTCGTTTTAGTACAAAGTCATTGACTAACTAAACCATTTGATTGTACGGCATCCCTCTCTAAAAACCACCCACCAACACAAACCGGGATGACATTGGCTAGATCACTTACAACTAAGCAATCGGTAACTCTATTTATTGCATCATCAAAGATTCATACTGATCAAGAGGGCTACGATCACTTGGGGGCTGGACTCTCTCTAATATTTACGAGATCCAAGCACTCAGAATTAGATAATGTTTTGTATACCTGCGTAAGATTGTGATATTGTGTGTTTTAATTGTACAAGTTGAACATCCAAACGAAAGCTGTTGATGGAAGACGACAAATGATGAATACCTCTCGCATGATATGATATAATTAAATAAAACTATTTAGTTTAAAAACACAGCACCTCTAAATGTCTTTGCGAAGATGGGTTAAATGGTTAACTCTTTTAGCTATTTATTTGCATGCTCAGTTAAGGATAAGTATTTAAACCGCCTTTGAAGATCATCCGGCGGATTCAAAAATCCAATCTAGAACATCTTGGCGTTTTCAATGATCTTTTCGTTATCGTAAATTTCCTTAGCGTAGCACAAACTGGGATAGTCGAAGGCGGCTCCGTAGCGGTTCTTGCATCCCGTTGTTGCCTTTTCGCCGGGAGTATACACAGGCTGACCCACAATGTTAGAAGTGGCGAAGTTGCAAGTCAAAATGAAGTGGTTGTAGTAATCGCGGGAGAAGCGCACGGCAGCACAACCCACGTGAGTGTTCTTTTCAGCCACGGCAATGGTGAACTTGGCAACATCCTTGTTGGGCAACTCCTCAGGGAAACTGGCGAGGATCTCGGGGGAGGCATTCGAGCGCTCGCTGAACCATTTCTCAATTTGCTCCTTGATAACCTCTGCATCAGTGTATTCCGTCTCCGCTCCACTGTATTGGAATATGGCGTTGTTCTGACCGGCGTATGCAAATCTTTCTGTGCTGCGACATTTGTCTGGAAGAGACTCACAGGTCTGCACGTTGAGAAGGGCTAAGTGGGCGAGCTCCTCGCACCAAGACATTTTGGCCATGCGTATAGCCTTGGGTAATCCTTCTACTTTGCCTCCAGCCACATTGTTACGCAGTTCGTTGAATAGGGTCAGAATTAGTTTGTGATGGGGCACGATCTTCACTTCACGCACGTCCTTGGGGCAGTTTTCACTGAAGTTCTGAAGGAAATGGGGTGAGAATCGGAGGACAAGAAGTAACGTTACCTACTCCTTTGTTATTGCAGGCAATGTGCTTATCCAGGCAAGTGGGAAGAGCACAGTAGTCCACTGCAAGGCAGAATCCCACCAAGGAGCTGAAGAAAACCAGAAACTTAATGGCCATGTTCGCCGCTGGTCTTGCACTGAAACTTAGACCTCTTATCGACTCTATTTATAGGAAAACTATGAGAGGGTATTCCACAGTAATCGGATTGCAGTCGAAACCTGCATTTCTTTATTTTTTTAGCTGAGTTGCGAGGAATGTCTGGCCAGGAATATGTTACCTATCTCTGCCTGGCTGTCATATAAAAACAGGCCATTCCTTACAATTTATCAGTTGCAAAATAGAAGCCAAGAATCAGCAACATGGCATTCAGCAAGGTAATCCATGTGGTCCTATTAGCTGTGATTGGCATTTCCTCAGCGGTGGACTATTGTGCTCTCCCCACTTGCCTCGATAAACATATAGCCTGTAACAACAAAGGAGTAAGATAATACCCTATATTCATAAGATGACTGAACTATATGACTCATATGTGTAACCTCCTCCAGAACTTCAGCGAAAACTGCCCCAAAGATGTTCGTAAAGTGAAGATTGAGCCTCATCAAAAATTAATTCTCACCCTCTTCAACGAACTGCGTAACAATGTGGCTGGAGGCAAAGTAGAAGGATTACCCAAGGCTATTCGCATGGCCAAAATGTCTTGGTGCGAGGAGCTCGCCCACTTAGCCCTTCTCAACGTGCAGACCTGTGAGTCTCTTCCAGACAAATGTCGCAGCACAGAAAGATTTGCATACGCCGGTCAGAACAACGCCATATTCCAATACAGTGGAGCGGAGACGGAATACACTGATGCAGAGGTTATCAAGGAGCAAATTGAGAAATGGTTCGGCGAGCGCTCGAATGCCTCCCCTGAGATCCTCGCCAGTTTCCCTGAGGAGTTGCCCAACAAGGATGTTGCCAAGTTCACCATTGCCGTGGCTGAAAAGAACACTCACGTGGGTTGTGCTGCCGTGCGCTTCTCCCGCGATTACTACAACCACTTCATTTTGACTTGCAACTTCGCCACCACCAATATTGTGGGTCAGCCTGTGTATACTCCTGGAGAAAAGGCCACAACGGGATGCAAGAATCGCTATGGAGCTGCCTTCGACTATCCCAGTTTGTGCTACGCCAAGGAAATTTATGATAACGAAAAGGTCATTGAAAACGCAAAGGTGTTCTAGGTTAAACATTATGACCCATAAGCTTTATTAAAAATATTAAGGTGCGCGTATATATGTATATAATTAAATTGCAGATGGAGATTATAATTTCAATTCCAAGATATAATGTATTAATGAGATTCACTTTTGGGTAGCTTTATCACGGGCCACCAGGGTCTTGTGAGCATTTGACTTCGTATGGGACGTGTAGTGCTTGAGTGTCTTAAAGCTTATACGGCAAATGTCGCAACTGGAAGAAGATAAAGATTAGACGACGATGCTCAGTTACTATATCATAATACATTAAGAAATTCTTTGAATCATATTATTTACAAATTTGCATATAAATTGAAGTTTAGCATATAGAGTACATAACATTTAAGTGTGTGTAAAATACCTGAAATCACGAGTCAAGTTGTGATACTTTTGGTGGGCTCTACAATCGCTTGGAGTTATATAGGACTTGGGGCAATATTCGCATTGGTAAATGCGTTTACTGGCGTCCATGTGAACTCTTGGAAAGATAATAGTTTTGGTAAGTTTGGGTAAACTGATGGGAAAGATGTGGCTATGTTTTACCTCTCGTGCATGCTACGAGCGCTGCAAAACCGAAAGGTCTTTCCACAGTTGTAGCGACAGGTGTACGGACGCTCACTTGTATGAGTTTTCCGGTGGGAACTAAGTTCAGCTGCAGCTGCGAAGGATGAGTCACACTGGTCGCATTTGTGGGGCTTAGTTCCTGAGTGACGAACCAGGTGACTCTTTAGGTTATAGGATGTAGTCAATCTCTTTCCGCATATGTGACACACATGTTGGGTATCTGCCGGTTTCTGACATCGTTCCATGTGAACTTCCAGCAGGATTTGATTGTGGAATTTGTTGCTGCATTTGCTGCACGAAACAAGCAATGGGAGATCGATCATGTTGCAGTGTCTCGTAAGAGCGGCTGCCGAACGGAAGCCCTCGCCACAATGATCACAAATGAACCTAAAATTAAAATAGATTTAGTTTATGATTTTTAATCGATTGTGTAGCATACTGTAAGTGAGCTGTGAGTCTTTGATAAAGTTTAGGGAATAAAATCCTACAAGATCCGTCTTAAATTCCCATAAAAAGTGCCGGTAAAATCAAATAGAAAGTTCTAAATAAAATAGAAAATGATGTTATGAGATTTATGTTATTTTAAAAAAATATTCTACAACATATTATACAACAAAAATAAAGTTTTTCAATTTAGTCTGTACTTATTTACCCTTATACTTGTGTGTGATTTAATGGTTTTAATTAGCATAGAGTTAGTAAAAGGAATAACAGTCAATTAGGAAGTTAAGGTTGTGCATGAAAAATATTAGTTATATACAACGTTTAATTATTACTTGGTGTTTGGAGGGACGTCGTGTAGGTGGTACTTGTGAAGCTTTAGCTCATCTACATTGTCGAAATCAAGGCCACATTTGCTGCACGTATGACTAGAGGAGTCTGGATTATCGATGTCTTCCGTATTTTGATAACTTTGTTGTGCTAGTTTCGAAGAGGGTGAAAGATCGAAATTTTCGTCTGACAACTCGTCCTCCGAAGGAAACTCTTGAAGAACTTGAAGGGGCTTTATTGCAACCAAATCATCTATGGCCTCCGGCTTAAGTACGGGCTCATCATTATCCTGTTGCACAAGCGAAGAGTTTGAGATCTCCTCCGAGCAGTCATCTAAATACTCCTCCACCAGGCTTTGTAAAGACTCCTCACCTTTTTCCACCTGATTCAGTTGTAACTCGAGCAGTTCCTGTGCCTCGATACAAACCCTGCGGAAATCAATAGCAATCTGCAAGTCGTGCTGGCACTCTTTGCATATAAACCTGGGCAACTTGTCGTTTTCTTTTAGCTAAAAATTCATGTCAGACCTTAGTAAGCATCCGATTTTTATTGTCATGGAAACATACACAAACTCACCTGTAAATTGGTCAATATCTCAATTTGACGCAAAACGGAATCGCTCGAAGGCTCGAACAGGTTCTTGGCTGTTGCAGGATCAGCCATACGCGAACAAGTCCTGCAAATGTACCTCATAGCTTAAGTAATAATATAATAAAAGGATCGGATCGATTGGAAGTCTTTGTTTTTTGTTTATACGGAAGAACAAGAAAAATGGCATTCGAAATTTTCAACCCCAGCTTATATTGTTTCACAACCCCCAAAATTGACATTCGCCCCGCAACGTAAATATTCCTTTTAAATTCCAAGTCTAGTTTTTCTGATAAGGCATTTAATAATCTAGGTCAGTTACGATACTATAAATAATACATTTTATGCTTATTTTATAAAGTATAAAATTTTTTTTTATATCGTGTTAAACATAAATTTAACATACAAATCATTTAATCTATTTACCAATAAAGAGTAGAAGATATTTATATATTTATTTTAAACTTATAAATAAATTTACTCTTTTCTTTTATAAATTTAAAGCTCTTTCCACTCTTCGGTAATGTAACTTAGTTTTTTGGTGTGATGTCAAGTGCGTAGAGCGCAGAAACCACTGGTCGCAGATATCACAGCTGGAATAAAAATTCGAAATTCTTATATTTTGAGAACCTAATAATTGCATATTTTTACCTACTGGAAATTCCGTTGATTGGAGTGGAGGAGTTCATGTCGTTGACGCGTTGAGGTGGAGGTAAATGACTTTTCGCAATGTCTACATTGAAAGGGGCGCTCATTTGTGTGAGTCCGCTCGTGGACCACTTTGCTACTACATCCCCGGAAAGTCTTGCTACAGAATCTACACGCATAGGGCCTTACATCCGAGTGCAGGATCCTGTGGCGGCGCATCTCGTTATCCGTATAATACTTGGCTTGACAGATGTCGCACTCAAAGGGCTTGTTGCCGGTGTGGCGCCGCTGGTGCAATTTAAGGTAGGTGGAGCATTTAAACACACCACCGCACTGATCACAGATCCAGGTCTTGGAAATGCGCTTCCTCTGCTTTACCTCGTTGTCCTCGTGGGCCTTTCCTTCCTGGAAATGTTCTTCATATTCTAGTTCCTGATACTCCTCCATTTGGAGATGTTCCGATTGATCCATCTGATTTTGGGCTTGCTCTTCCTGATCCACATTCTCTTGAACTGCCAACAAGAGACCCTCTTTATTTTCATTTTTTTTATGTCTTTCCTGATCCTTCACATTATCCTCTTGTTCGTCAACATCCTTCAGTTCTTCATCCTCATCAAATTGTTCAACAAACTCGGACTTTCCTTGCACAAGTTGCCTCTTGAAGACCAAAAAGGATTTATGGACCTTTAAACACTGGCTCCGAAATGCCAATATTATGTCTAGTTGCAGTTTGCACCAATGACAAATGTGATCCGGCATTGTACCATCAAATTCCAGCTAAATATTTGTTTAAGACAATTATTTTAACAAAAACCATATAATTTTAGGTGCTTACAAACATATCTGTAATGTTTTCCACTAAACTAATAAGAGAATAGTTTTTTACAAGATTCATTGGCAAGGATTTTATCACTTTTTTCCCACAAGTTCGGCAAAGTGAGCGTAGGCGAAACATATCCATTGTCGCATTAAAAAGTTTTTTTATGTAAGCAAAATATATGTTTTTAAAAATTCGAGATATTCTTATTGACTTTTCAAGTGAATGGCGAATGAAGAAGAAGAGGTAGCAAGCTGATTTTTGTTGATGATTTCCCTTTTATTAGTGTGTACGCACTTTCTTTAAAATAGAATCAAAAATATTAAGTATTATAGATTATAAAGTATTATAGAATACAATAAAAAAAAAATATAAAATAAATCTTCTCCACAGTTTACTCTACTTTAAATATAGAGTTAAAACTAATGCGCATGAAGCGGGATTTTGTTTACACTATACAGATATCACCATACTTCAAGCCTTATCAGCAGGTCATAAACAACTGAGAAACAAAAACTAAAACAAAAACAATATTTGCATATTATGCATTTATATATTAATTTATCTTGATAACAACTTTCTAAGGCATTTTATATTGCTTATCAACAACACAGTCATCTAAACGCTAAGACAGACTTGCTTCGATTGCTTATCGCTTTCTCAATGTTAATTAGTAGAAATTCTTTGTGCAATAAGGGCTTAGCACTTGCTTATGCTGATAATATACATAAGTATTTAGTTCCCTAACCATCTTTGTGCAGAGCGGACTTAAATGGAGAGCTATATGCAGTTGCCGAACTCTAAAAGATGCCAAAAGATTACAATTGCTCCCTGCAGAGCGGACAGCTATTTGCCCCACTATCCATAAACTGTTCGAAACAATCGCCATGCAAAGCATGCTGGCAGCGAAGGTGTTTCATGTTTTGCCGAATAAGTGGATCAAAGCAAATTGCGCAACTATCGCCTGGCAGACTGAGATTGACTGTCCGGTTGCACAGTGGGCAGTTCCTAGAAAGGTAGCGATACTCCTGGAAGCAAGCGTTATCCAGGGCATGTCCGCACTTCATGGGTTGCATGTTACCGCTATTCATTTTTTGCAGACAGACAGCACACCTATCACCTGGTATGCTGAAATAAAATAAAGGTTTTTAGAATTTTTAATGGAAACCTCGACTTAGAAGCACAAACCTGCGACGCAGTCTCTGATCCCTGAAGTTTCGGTGCAGACTTTCTCCATTGTCGAACTCGTCCTCATCTTCATCCCTGCGATTTCGGTACCGATGAGGCTGCGTTTGCTGGTAACTCGGCCGGGACATGTAGATGGCCACGGCGGAAGTTACCAACACAACGCCGAGGCCAAGCAAAATGTTTAGGTAAACCATTTTCTTTTTCGTCCCCGTTTAGTATCCAAACAACACAATAAAATTAATTAAATAACAAACTGATCAGGAACGATGCCGGATTGCTGTGAAATCCCCAAAAATTAAATAAAATTTACACATTAGTGTGACTGCAGGTTCTTAAAACTTAAATACTTAACAGGATGAAATTAAAATTTTAATTTTAAAATGTTCTGTAATGTTGTTTGATAGAAAGCTGTTTAGGAATACTAATTAAATGAGAATTAAAAACTTAAATTGTATTTATTGTATATTTTTCAAAATTTAAATTAGTTTAGCTAAATACCAAACTACCAAACAATAGCCGGTATCTTGTTTAGTTCGATACTATTGAGGTATATACCAGTCAAATAGTGCACGGTCATACAGATTTTCAGTTTTAGGGAACACAGTTTGATGAACTTTATCCGGATCCTTTTAAATTTCGAGATTTCAGACAGTTTAAGGATTGGTCGCCGAAGTCTTGTTTTGCTAAGCGTGCGATATTGATTTTGGCGTTGAAATCGAAGTGAGAATATCTTCTCTACCGCTTATCAGACGCATATACAAGCACACGTACCCCCACTTACGGGCAGACAGGAAAAACAATTTTCTTCAGGCAATTAGAGCGTTTTCGGGCGCTGCAAGAAAGGAAACTCCATGGCGGATAGAGAGCGCAGCATTCACGAGATGTTGAAAGACGCGCCATCTCTAAACGACAGTTGCGGTTCGGTACACACGGGAACTGAAGGTGGAAGCCTGGTCCTCGGCAGCGCCAGCAGCCACAGCATCGCCGGAGGAGGAGGCCCCTTTGGCGCTCCCAACAGTCTGCCTCTGAGGAACCATTCCGGTGAGTTAATAGACTGTAATTTGTAGGCCCCCTTACTCAACATCCATTTATATTTTTATATAGCACCCACCACACCCATGTCGCCAAGCAGTCCACCATCGGGAAACGGCATCTTGAGCCCCACAGACAGCGGGAGCGGCAGTCTTATACGCACTAGCGCCTCCAAAATCGACAGTCTTAAGAACTGGAGTATATCAACATACAAGTGTACTCGGCAGATTATGCTAGAGAAGCTAGGCAAATCGCAGCGAACTGTAGATTCAGAATTAGAAGCCCAGATCGAGCAACTGCGCGAGACCCAACGCAAGTATCTGTCCATTTTAAGGCTAACGCGAGCCTTCAGCTCGCACTTCCAGCACGTTGTCGTCACCCAGCATGCCCTTGCCGACTCATTTGCCGATCTGGCCCAAAAGAACCCCGAACTGCAGAAAGAGTTCACTTGTAACTCGGAGACGCAGCGCAACCTCACCAAGAACGGCGAACTGCTGCTCAACGCGCTCAACTTTTTTATTTCGTCGGTGAACACGCTGTGCAATAAGACAATCGACGACACCCTGCTGACGATACGACAGTATGAAACAGCCAGGTAATCTATGTAAAGCCCTTATGATATGACCTAATACCCCTTCCCAGTCCCAATTATTTTAGGGCCTAATGATGTGCCAGATACATGTTTTCATTTTAAAGAGTTTCAATTAAATATAATTTGTTGGATTTAAATATTAAGGTTTCCTTATCAGCAAATACATTTAGTCATACATTTTATTCATTCGCTTATCAATTTTTCTTTCCTTGAAAACATTTTGTTTTATTAGTGCAGAAGCATGTATATATCGGTTAGTTTATCCAACAAGCAATTGAATCTTGTATATTTTAAAAAACCATCAGTTATCATTTAGTTCTGTACTTCTATAAACCTGTTCTTGAATTTTAGAATCGAATTTGATGCCTATCGCATGGACTTGGAGAACACCAAGCCAGAGCTGACGCCCTCGGCTGCTGCATTGGAAGAAACCCAGCGCAGCTATGCGCAACACAAGGAGCAATACGAGAAGCTACGCTCTGACGTAGCGGTCAAGATGCAATTCCTTGACGAGAATCGCGTAAGTACAGCCCACTCAAAAAAACAATCAACGATTACCCATTAATATTCCGTCTTCAGATAAAAGTTATGCACAAGCAACTGATTCTGCTGCACAACGCTATCGCTGCTTACTTCTCCGGCAATGCCATGGCATTGGAAAGCACTCTGAAGCAGTTCAACATAAAGGTGAGATGACTACAAAATTTAAAAGTGTCCAAATTTAAATGACTTTACAGCTTAAGTCACCCAATGCCGTCACTGGATCCTGGCTGGAACAGTAGAATGAAATCCCTCCCACTCTCGAAACACGTTGCAGACGGCATTTAAGCGCATATAATGGGTGGGACTTAAACCTCTAGTCCCTCCACTCACTTGCTGAACGAGCACGCTCTCTAAAATAAATCAGAAGCAGAGAAAATCCAATATCCAAAGCACTGGATGCTGCATGACGAATCGTAACAATATTAACGTGCTAAGTTTAAGTCGAATTCCTAAGCCGTAAGCAGAAAGTGGAAACGGAACAGTATGTTATATATATATATATTTTTTCAGCCGCTTTCCAATGTATGTAACTCTCTGTATTCCTCACATTTCCAAACCTGGTACGACACAGTTCCTTTTATTTTTATTTTCCAGTTGTCTCTTTCCGTTAGAATAACGTATTGCGCTCTGCTTAAGAAACACTTGGTCCTTTTGGATTAACTTACGCGATTCTCGTCGATGAGTTGTATCTTAGCCAGGTCAAAGTGCAGCTTGTCGTATTGCTCCTTGTGGTGCGTATAGCTGCGCTGGGTTTCTTCAAAAAGTGAGCAGTACAATATATATATATATGTATTTAACCTTATTTTTTAGTTCTAGATATTGTACAATGTGTGTATAAATCATTTGTAATTCACCCAAACGAAAATCCGTAACAAAATCGAAATGTTTTCGCGAGCTTGCATAATTTGAACTCTTTGATTTACTAGTCAACGTATTATTTACACTAAAATGAAGTCTATATATAAAAATATATAAATAAAAAATATTTAATTACACCAAATTGCTTGTCTTAATTCTTCTCCAACTTCAAATCACTGAGTTTTTCGTTGAGATTGGTTTCCTCGTCTTCCTCAGCCTTGAACATTTCCTAAAATTATGGACATTCTAGATGACTTTTAGATAAATTAAATAAGTGACTTACCGGATCATATATCACCTTTATAACTAGCGAGCAGCTGGGGCAGGTGGCAACCTCTTCACCCTCGATCAACTCTTCCTAAAGTGGAAAATTACCCAAATGTTAAAAGGTTTTTGCGGGTTGCGTATACGCCTTGTTACCTTGGAGATCTGAAATCGATCGCCGCATGGACAGGGATAGTAGTACATCTCCTCCTCTTCGTCATACTCAAAGTCCTCGATTTCCACTTCGTCGTGATAGATACTCATGACGTACTTTAATCTTATTTTACAAGTATAATATCATTATATGAAGCATCTAATAAGATGATTAAGATATTAAAATTCACGCCAAACAAATGCGCACGTTGTATCGAAGCACTGCCAACTTGGTTTCAAATAAACAGCTGATCCAGTAAACATTTGGCCAAGCAACTATTTTATTTTCGGTTTTAAGTAAGACGGCTGCAATTTTACGATATCGTTGAATAATATAAATATATTATTTAAAGTATAGCCGACTTGGACTATTAATCATTTTTGTATCTGCAGTTCACCACATCACTGGAGAAAATTAAGAATTAGGTGAAATTAAAACCACACAGAACTTCCAAGCAAATTCTTCATTTATGCCAGTTGTGAAATTTAAATAATAGATTTTTAATTTTAATATCTGAAGACAAGGAGTCCCCCGAAATGGCCAGCAAAAAGTTTAGTGACATCAATTTGTATGATCTTCTGGGAATTTCCTTGGAAGCCGATCAAAATGAGATACGCAAGGCGTACCGCAAAAAAGCGCTCGACTGCCATCCTGACAAGAATCCAGACAATCCCAAGGCAGTCGAACGTTTTCACGAGCTGTCCAAGGCTTTGGAGATCCTCACAGATGAATCCGCACGCGCCGCCTACGACAAAGTACTTAAAGCCAAAAAGGCTGCCGAACTGAGAAGTCGCCAGCTAGACGGAAAGCGGCAGAAACTAAAGCTGGAACTGGAGGAACGGGAACGGGCGGCCCTGCATAAACTGGCCAAGAGCCAACCCTACAGCACAGTAGCCAAAAGCGACGAGGAGCTGCTACAGGAGCAGATCGAACGACTGAGGCGGGAGGGATCTCGTCTGCTGGAAGAGGAGCAGAGGGCCATGCAGGAGCAGTTCCGGCGCAATCATGCCGAGAAGCAGAAACTCCTGCTACAGCCGGCCAAATTTGATTCCGCCGAGCATCGCATCAAAATGAAATGGAAGGCAGAACCCGGTCAGGATTACACGCAGGATCAGCTGCTGAAGTACCTTAAAAAATACGGCGACGTAGTGGCCCTGGTGATCAACAGTAAACGACGCGGACGCGCCATGGTGGAGTTGGCCACCCGCGAAGCTTGTGACATGGTGTTGGCTTATGAAAAGGGCGATCCCGCCAAGCCACTGCATTTCGAGTGGGTGACGCCGCCGACGGAAGTTAAGCAGGCATCCAAAACAAGAGCCACTGGGACCACTGGCTTATCCACAGACTACGAGGATCTTGTCATGCGGAAAATGCGACAGGCCGAGGAGCGAAAGAAGCTTATTGAGCAGATGATGAAGGACGAGGAGGGCGAATAAACATAAGACAAAAAATTAGTACATATTTAATTTTATTTATTTATTTTTTTACAAGTACATATGTAGGTATTTACAATTTCCAGTTAATTTTATACGTAAAATTGAATAATTTCTATTGAATTAAAAAAATACAGATTTTTAAATCACAAAATTGGCGATTTTTAGTGCCTAGACATAAACAGCAGTTGGCAGCTCCACCTGCCAGCTGCTAAAATTTGTCAATTGAAGAAAATGCAAAAATGCCTCCCGTGGCGAGAAATAAATTGATTAATTAAATTAACTAAAAGTTAAGCAACTAATTCCCATTCGAAGCGCGATGGAGAAGCGACAGAGGGAGTTGGAGGCACTGGTCTCCACGCAGAAAGAGCAACTGGGTCGCTATGAGAAGAGACTTAAAGGTAGGTTCGTCTGGTATCCGACTGCATTCCGTGTGATTAAACCAATTTGCAGACGTGGTCACTGCTTACAAGGGACTGCTGAAGGAGAAAGAGGCGCTTGAGACGAGTCTGGCGGCACACGCAGAAGCCACGGCGGTAGGCGAATCCGGATCTCCGGCAAGGGAGGTGGAGTCCCAAAACACCAGCACAGATTCTCCAGACGGAGGGAGTGAGGGAGCAGCAGTTCCACTTGCTGTCCCCGTGGACGGTCAACTTCAAACGCAAATTATCACTCTAATGAACTCACTGGCAACTCTTTCCGCCGAGAAATCCCGAATGGAAGCATCCTTTCAAGCAGACAAGAAGCAACTGCGCAACCAAATCGCTCAAAAGGAGCAATCAATTCAAGAGCTTAATGTGCGAGCCAAGGAGCAGGCTGCGCGGGCTAAAGCGGACGTTGATGAGGTGAAAGCGAAGTGGATTGTGGAGCGGCAAGAGCGTGAGAAGGAGACCAACAATCAGATGCTCATGATCCGTGAGTTGCAGAAGCTTTATGCAGACGAGCGCCACTTAAAAGACAATATCGAGATGCAGTTGAACAATTTTAAGACTCAATTCGCCAGCAATGAGGCGGAAAACAGCAGACTGCGAGAACTGCAATCCCAACTGAAGGAGGCCCGTTCTCAACTAAAACAATTCCAGACCAAGGCAGAACAGTCTGCGGCTGCGACAGCAAGTGCGGATAGCGCGGCTCTCCTTCATCAAGTTCGTCTAGAGATGCAACAACTGAAGGAACAGCATGCAGTTGCCATTCGCCAGGAACAACGACGTGTACTGCGAGCGGAGGATCAGAGTCGCAAACAGGCTGCTCTGCACGAAGATCGTGTGGCCAGTCTAGAGGCACGCTTAGCGGAGCTTAGCACTACCGTAGGAAGCTACGATCGTCTGCGTCAGCAAGATCAGGACAGTATTCATGACTTAAAACAACAGTTACAAGATTTAGAGCAGGCACATGTGCGTCCCACATCTAATTTGAAAGCTTTAAATGAAGATGTTGACGTGGCCACCCTTGTAGACGAAATGGTACGTCTGAAAAAACTGCTCACCAATGCCAATGCCCGTTCCGCCAACCCCCTGGATCTTGGGGAAATATTTTCCCTAAGCGGCCAAACAACAACGCGAGTAGAAAGCCACTCTCATTGCGAGCAACAGCTCCAGGGAGCCCAGCAAATGCTAGAGGCTGCCAAGCAACAGCGACAATTACTCGAACAGAAGGTGCAACTGCAGCACTCGCACATCCAGACACTTCAAGAGAAAGTGCAGGTACTTAATCGCAACATCGACGAGGCGGAAATTGACCTGAAACAGCAGGGCGAGAAGTTACGCCTTGCCTTAAAGAGTGAAAGAACGAAATGGCAGGAGGCCAAAGCAGAACTGGAGAACGAGACACGCTGTAAACTGAACGAGCTGGAGCAGCTTTTACAGAAACAGCGCCAGAGATCGCTGCAGCTTCTTGATGAGAAGGAGCAGGAGATCAAGACACTCCAAACATCTTTCGAGGTCTTTCACTCTGCCAGCGGTGTAGGCAGCACTCTAGCGACTCCCTCACTAGAAGCAACAGCGGAATCGTATAATTATTCATCTGACGCCGACAGTGTCGAGGTGGAGGGCGAGCAGAGGGAGCGAAAGCTGAAAGTACGCTCTAAGAAGATGTCGTTGGGCGACAACTGTCACATGCTGCACTACGCCAACGAGTTGGCTCGAAAAGACATCGAGATCACCACCCTTCGCAAGGCCAAGTATGCCGCAGAGTCCACCCTGAGGAAGGCAATCCAGGACAAAGTCACTTCTCAACAGGAAATGCACGAGAAGATCGAATGTCTCGAAGAACAAGTGGATAGGTGGGTCCATATCATAATCGTTTTTAAATAACCATTATTTAACCATCACCATTATTTTTTAGACTCGAACGCTGCAAAACGCGAGAGGGCGCGAATTTGGAGTACCTGAAGAACGTGATCATCAGCTACATAGTTACCAGGGACGCAGACGGCAAGCGTCACATGCTGAACGCTATCTCAGCAGTACTTCAGTTCACCACCGCAGAGATGCAGGCGATCAATGCGTCATTCCAAAAAAAATAACATTCGTATTTTGTTTAACAATCATGTGCAACATATTTAAATCCTTAAAATCAGATCTTAAAATCATTACTAACTAAATCCGATGACGGGATATTTGTCCAGGTGGGGAGCCAGCACGCCGGGAAACATGGCTAGGAACTTGAATCTACTGCCCATTTGCGCCGGATCTGTGAGCATCTCGTAGCCAGAGCGAATTATTTGCTGGTTTTCAGGCAAAGCGTGAGCAACCAGCTGCGCAAGTCGAGCCTCTCCCTGCATACGCTGCAGGAATAGCCCCTGCTCTACAGGTCCACAACAGTGAATATTGCCACGCGACTCAGCGATGTTCCTCACCAGCTTGAAGTCCACATCGGCCGTAAGATCAGCACTACCCGGCTCCAGCAATGGCTCGTGAAGCTTGTGCTGCTTAAAGGCTCGGAAAGTGTCAGTTTTCTCACCAAAATGTCCATAATCCATGATTAATGCAATACCGCCATCCCGTTCAATGCGCTCTGACAGGAGTCCCACCTGACGCTCAGTCTCCAGGGAGTACTCAAGACAGGATCGGGTCTCCCCTGGCATAGGTTGAAAAACGCTCGAAACGGGCGTTTGACTGCGAGAGAGTACGTATCGAAACTCAGCTTGCTGACAATCTTTTGCGCCATCAGAAGCCACATCGATGAGCACCTCCTGCCACTTTCCATCGACCAATTGCAACTTATGCGTAGGAAGGGCATCAAAGAACTCGTGAGCCAGCACTAGGGAGAATCCCTGAGGCACATCCTCCAGCCGACGATGCCAATACGCTTTAGTTCCACTGGCCGTGGTTCCCACTTGGTAATGAGGGAGCTGCGAGTCTTCCGGCAGGGTGTCATGAGTGTAGCAAAAGCGCTGCGCCTGAGCTTTGCTTAGAAATGGACTGACCTCCACCATGTGCATGGAAAACTCAGCTTCTTGTTTAAATTTGGTAATCACCTTCAGCACATCCCTAGCTAGCGTGCCGCGACCAGGACCTAGTTCGACAAGTTGAAAAGGTGAAGGACTGCCCATCTTTCGCCACTCTGTCACCAGCCAAACTCCCACAAGCTAAAAAAAATATCATTAAGAGCGTCAGCATACAATAATATTATGTTCATGTGTATGAATAGATCAGAAATCTTACCTCTCCGAAAATCTGTGATATTTCCGGTGAAGTTATAAAGTCACCCTCTCGGCCGAACACATCCCGGTTCATGTAGTATCCCGCCTGAGGATTTGTCAGCACCTCACGCATATATTCAGCCACGGGAATGGGTCCAGTTGCCAGAATCTTGGCCCGCAGTTGTTTGGCCAAACTGCTATGTCCATTATCCGCTGCAGAGGTAGCTGTTGGTTGCTCCTTCGCTGGTTGTACTTTTGGTGCACTTGTACCACCCAGGTTCGGTCGACGTACCGACTTGTAGCTATGCCATCGCCGGCTGCCGATCCTTAAAGCTTCTCGTAACATGTTGAGCCGGCTAAAAAAGGCTAGAAAAATAAATTATGAAGTGAGCTCAAAATTATCGACTAGGGGATACCTAGCCTTTGATTACACATTAGAAGTTAATATCGAAACGTATTATTAAAGTGGTTCTTTAGGCAATCGTAGATTGATTAAATAATAAAATTTATATATTTGGGACTAAAACTATTTGAGTTATTTTGTAAAATATGTTGACACTAAAACTTAATGATTGTGCGGTATAAACGTATGCATATACCTGTTCTCAACAGTTAAAGGGTATACCAAAATCACTAAAAGGTGATGCCAACTTGTTAGCAAAACAGCTGTTTAAAAAGTCCAAACCCGTTACATATTTTGAATTTATTCTTTCAGCACACAAAAATAAAATTTCGTTGAAGAGGGTGAGAATTAATTTTTGATGAGGCTCAATCTTCACTTTACGAACATCTTTGGGGCAGTTTTCGCTGAAGTTCTGGAGGAGGTTACACATATAAGTCATATAGTTGAGTCATCTTATGAGTATAGGATATTAACTTACTCCTTTGTTGTTACAGGCTATATGTTTATCGAGGCAAGTAGTCCACCGCTGAGGAAATGCCAATCACAGCTAAAAGGACCACTTGGATTACCTTGCTGAATGCCATGTTGCTGATTCTAGACTTCTATTTTGCAACTGATGAATTGTAGGGAATGGCCTGTTTTTATATGACAGCCAGGCAGAGATACATAGGTAACATATTCCTGGCCAGACATTCGTCGCAACTCAGCTAAAAAAATAAAGAAATGCAGGTTTCGACTGCGATCCGATTACTGTCGAATACCCTCTCATTGTTTTCCTATAAATAGAGTCGATAAATGGTCTAAGTTTCAGTGCAAGACCAGTGGCGAACATGGCCATTAAGTTTCTGATTTTCTTCAGCTCCTTGGTGGGATTCTGCCTTGCAGTGGACTACTGTGCTCTTCCCACTTGCCTGGATAAGCACATTGCCTGCAATAACAAAGGAGTAGGTAACGTTACTCCTCGTCCTCCGATTCTCACCCCATTTCCTTCAGAACTTCAGTGAAAACTGCCCCAAGGACGTGCGTGAAGTGAAGATCGTGCCCCATCACAAACTAATTCTGACCCTATTCAACGAACTGCGTAACAATGTGGCTGGAGGCAAAGTAGAAGGATTACCCAAGGCTATACGCATGGCCAAAATGTCTTGGTGCGAGGAGCTCGCCCACTTAGCCCTTCTCAACGTGCAGACCTGTGAGTCTCTTCCAGACAAATGTCGCAGCACAGAAAGATTTGCATACGCCGGTCAGAACAACGCCATATTCCAATACAGTGGAGCGGAGACGGAATACACTGATGCAGAGGTTATCAAGGAGCAAATTGAGAAATGGTTCGGCGAGCGCTCGAATGCCTCCCCTGAGATCCTCGCCAGTTTCCCTGAGGAGTTGCCCAACAAGGATGTTGCCAAGTTCACCATTGCCGTGGCTGAAAAGAACACTCACGTGGGTTGTGCTGCCGTGCGCTTCTCCCGCGATTACTACAACCACTTCATTTTGACTTGCAACTTCGCCACCTCTAACATTGTGGGTCAGCCTGTGTATACTCCCGGCGAAAAGGCAACAACGGGATGCAAGAACCGCTATGGAGCCGCCTTCGACTATCCAAACCTCTGCTATGCTAAGGAAATTTATGACAATGAGAAGTTAATCGGAGGAGCCCGCTTATTTTAGGAATTTAGATGGACGAATGATGCTGACTACTGATGATCTTCACATGTGCAAATATAAATACTAAAAATTAAGCAAGAATTGATTAAGGTATTATTTGGTTTTATTTATTGGCAATAAACTACTGCCCAGACTCATAATTCCTTATATCTAACATGTAGGGCTAGGATATTTCAACAAAATTATTATTTAACTTAGCGCTTTTGTTTTCTGATCTGCGTTTGCAATAAGAAAATTATATTTATCCTATGGTAAGGATCAATAAAACATGACCATAATAAACTAGTATATTTGAATTCAAATCGACGTCGCTTAGACGCTAAATTGATAGCCACAGCCTTTCCCAAGAGATTGAATTTAAAACATTAATTGAATTAGCTTAGCCAAAATCTTTTTATTGATCGCTGCCCTACCGCAGCAGTAGACGGCAAAAGCGAGCAGACAATTAAACGTTGACACATTTTGCTTAAGCGGTGGTGGTGGCGGCGGCGGCAGCAGCGCTGGTGGCAGCGGCGGCCTCCTCCTTGAGACGATCCTTCTTGAGCGGACCCATGAAGGCCAGCTTGTCGGCAGGGGTCTGGAAGCGACCGTGACCCATCTTGGACGAGGTGTCGATGAACTTGAGCTTGATCTGTTCCAGAGCAGAGCGCTTGGTGTGCTTCAGCAGGGACTTGCGCAGGGTGATGATGCGCTTCTTGGAACCGATGCAGCAACCCTTGATCAAGACGAAGTCGTTGTTGACTTCACCGTAGTGGGGGAAGCCACCCATGGGGGTGATGCTCTTGTCGGTCAGATCGTACTCCGTGGAGGCGTTGTTCTTGATGACCTAAGGACAATATAAACAAAGACCAGTCAGTCTACTGAAATTTTAGGAAATTGAAAGGATTCAATAATGTGCTGAGATCTGTGATCAGTCCTATCATTATAAATATCACGGTTCATCAAGCTTTTTTTAGTTTCGATGTCGTTAATTTTTTTAGGGTTTTTATCATCAGTGCAACAGTATCTACAGCCTTACATAGAAAAAATATTTGATAAAAAACTACTGCTTACCTTGCCATCCTTGGTGTGGATGCCAGCACCGATGCGGTAGATCTTCTTGTTGATCTCGGTACGGTGGTGGTAACCCTTCTGACCAGCACGGGCCACGGTGGTGGACACACGCGACGGATGCCAGGCTCCAATACAAGCCACCTTGCGCAGACCCTTGTGCGTCTTACGGGGCAGCTTCTTGGTGTGCCAACGCGAGGTGACGCCCTTGAAACCCTTACCCTTGGTCACACCGACGCAATCGACCATCTCGTCCTGACCGAACACGTTGCTGACCTGGATGGGCTTCTCCAAGTGCTCACGAGCCCACTTGACCTTGTCCTCGATGGAGCCGCCGTTCAGCTGGATCTCCATGATATGGGCCTTCTTTTGGCGCTGCTTGATCAAGCGGATCTAAAAGGAATAAAGGAAAGTTGGACAAATAAGTTTCATTCATTTGGAGTTCTTTTTATTGGACTGTGCGTGATATGGTTTAACCGCGCTATCATCGCCTGAGTGGCTCCGCACCGTTACTGGAATATATCAACCTCCGCCACCCGAGGGGCAGTTTAATCTGCGACGTTGCATCCCTAAACTGTGCATTAAAAATCACAGCGCGAATGCTTTTTAGGCCAGGCGCACCAAAGGCACCGAGTCCGAGGACCCAGCAACAGTAGCGCAACAAGGCCAAGGACGTCGTAAATTTTAATGGAATACGTAAAAAATTTATATTTACCTGCGAGTGGGCAATCACACGGATCACCTTGCAGTAACGCAGCATCTTGCGGAAGTCATTCTCGATGCTCTTCTTGCCGAGATCATCGGTCCACTTCTTGCTAGCCTTGGTGAAGGCCTTCTTCTTGCTCTTGTACCTGATTGGAGATGCATTGGTCAGAAACGAGCGACATGATGCAATCCATTGGGATGTCGCAACAACTCCAACTTCTTAGCTGCTGCTTATGTGGGCGAGATAGAACAGGAAGTGCACCTCATCGCAAACAAATGGCGAGCGGAGATGCAGTCTTCCATGTCGTGCTCACTCGTCAAGTAGTTTCAGTTAACCAGGGGCTATGCCCAAGACCAAAAACCTGACAGCTCACACAACTTTCAGCGATTTAAAAAGCTCTCTCAGCAAGCTGATCGAAGAACTTTATGATTGCATTTCGCATTTAATAAGGGGTAACTTTAAATTGACATCTTGAAGGGGTAGTAGTTCACACAACTTTGAATTATAAAAACCAACCAAGAGTTTTCTGATAGGCTGATCAGAAGGAAGGCAGCAGATGGTAAAAGGCTTCTCAACAATATTTTGCTCATTCAGATACCATCGTATCATCATTCAGACTCAGGAAAACACGTGGTTAGTTTATGTGTGTGTATACGGGGTGCAAACAAAATGGCGACAGAAGGCATGGGGGGTAATTACGTGGTCCTTAATACATACCAGTTCTTGTAGAAGCGACGACGGCACTCCTCGGACAAATGCTGGGCCCAAACGTTGACCAGAGCACGCAGACCGAAGGGAGTCTCGATGTAGCCGACGGCACCAACCACAATCATGGGCGGGGTCTCCAGAACGGTGACAGCCTCGACCACCTCCTTCTTGTTGATCTCTGTAAGAGAAGGAAGCCATTAAACTCATGCCATGGTATTTTCTAAATATGAACTATTGTTTGACTTTAATCAGTCCGCCCTAGTTGAGATAATCACGGTTAATCAGTTGTGTTCTAACCATAAATCTTCTAGTTAAATCATCATGGAAAAATAGTTTGATGTTCATAGATGTTAGATGGTACTTACTTGAACCAGGACGATCGGCCTCTCGGACGATGTGGGTCATACCGGCCTTGTAGCCAATAAAGCAAGTCAGATGGACGGGCTTGCTGGGGTCATCCTTGGGGAAGGCCTTAACCTTTCCACGGTGGCGAGCTGAGCGCTTCTTGGGGTAGAAGGCCATAGAACCATGGCGAGGCGCCGAGAACTTACGATGGGACTGGAATATAAATGGAAAACATCTATTAGTCTTAATGCCTTTCCACTTTGAGGTTAGAGAACACGTGGATGCATACAACTTGCATGCAACTTTTTATTAAAAAGAATTGGATATTCTTATTAAATGCATTGTTTTGGTTTGTTACTTGTACTTATCACCATATTGAGCACTTTACTTTAATATTTTAACTTCACCATCCACTTTTTATCTAATTTTGTCGACCTAAACTTACCATGTCTGTTCTCTTCAGACGATGAAAAACGGAAAAGAAAATTTAGAGATTTCCGTCGGCTTATATATGGTTTAGTGTGACCATTTCTCCTGGCGCCAATTATGCTGAATACTGGTTTTTGAGAGCCATTGGGCGGTAATTCTGTGATAATCATCTTTGGCTTTTTCTTAAGAAGTGTTATTTACAATTTATCCTATCTATCTATTTCCATATATTTATTTATTTCTGCAAATAAATCAACAGAGGCAAACCACACACAAGTTTTCTCCACACAGATAACATCTAGTTAGTACTCAAACCACTCACTTTGATTTGTAGCCCTGGCTTTATTAGGTAAAACACATTTTAAAAATTTTATAAATTTTATTTATAGATCGTTATTACGGAAAGTTTATTACAGAAGAAGAATATAAAAAAAATCAAAGGATTCATTGCCCATTCCATCAATTTCGCATATAATTTTATATGTTTTCGTTATTGTTCTTGTATGTGTTCCATCTATGTTTCAATGTTACAAATTTGAAGCATAATTAAATTACAGTCTAGTTTCGCACCATTGAAAGCTGAGATTTCCAGATATCCGTGGTGGGGTCACACTCGCGTAGCGTTTTGGCGCATTTTGTGGTAGTGTTTGTGGCGAAAAATAAAAATAAGAAATTCGCAATGTCGACACTGGAGCTATGCGAGAAGTACTTTGGGACACGGGATGTGTACCAGCTGATGAGCCTGGACAAGAGCGCCGCCGAAAAGGAGGTGAAGAAAGCGTACCACAAGCTCTCTCTGTTGGTTCATCCGGACCGAGTGCCTGAGGAACAGAAGGCGGAGTCAACTGAGAAGTTCAAGGTGCTATCGAAGCTTTACCAGGTGCTCACCGATTCCCAAAAGCGGGCTCTGTACGACGAGCAGGGCATCATCGATGATGACGATGAGGCAGAGTCTAAGTTATCATCGTGGCTGGAACTCTGGAGCAAGATCTTTAAGCCAATATCAGAGGAGGACATCAACAACTATGAAAAGGAGTACGTGGACTCGGAGCTGGAGCGCACGGATGTGAAGAAGGCGTATCTGGGTGGAAAGGGGTGCATCAACTACCTGATGAACCATGTGCCCTTCATGAAGGTGGAGGATGAGCCGCGCATACAGAAAATCGTCCAGGACATGATTGCCAGCGGCGAGGTGCCCGAGTTTAAGATCTTCACCGAGGAGCCAGCCGCTAAGCGCAAGAAACGCCACCAGAAGTACGCCCGCGAAAATAAAGAGGCTAAGGTCATCAAAGAGCGCCTCCAGCGCCGCCAAAAAGAAAAGGATGACCAGGATCTGGCTGACAATGGCGGCGATCTGCAGCAAATGATTCTGGCACGTCGCAATCAGCGGGAGTCCAACTTTGGCTCTCTGATGGACCGCCTAATGGAAAAGTACGGCAATGAAGATGACTCCGATACCGTTGACTTCAGCTCCTTTGAGAAAAAGAAAAAGAAGTCCAAGAAGCCCGCCAAGCATGAGGCCAAACAGAAGCTAAATGGAGTCAAGACTGGTAGGGTGGAGAAGACCAAGAATTAGGGCCGACCTCTAATCCTTTGCGTACTCTCCTAAATAAACATATAATATAGTTTAGTATTAGCTACTCATATGTATTTATCCATGTATGTACGTATAATTCATAATTCCGTAAAATTCATGCTAAATAGAGCAGTTTAGTTTTTGTTTAAAAAGTCCAATTGGTAAACAAATATTTTATGTGTACCTTGGTTCGTAAGTAAATCAAATCAAATAAATGGTTTAAATATTACTACTGGTCAAATCATCCTGGTTTATTTTATATTTATTTAAGAATAATTGCATTTTTAATTTCATAAAGTTGTGACGTCATGGTATATTATAACAACCTTCTTTTCTTGCCGTGGTGTCAAAGCAACAGTTGGTCACACTAACACAATGCTAAATATAAATTTAATAAACATTGCGCACTTTCGTCTAAAAATATGAGATGTGTTGTGCCCAGCTGCCGGAATTCTTTCATCGGCAGATCCAAAAGGAATCCAGGCGAGGAGCAGCAGATCGGTTTCTTCCGGTTTCCCAAGTGCCCGGAAACATTCAAAAAGTGGCTGGAATTTTGTGGCTTTTCCGAGAACTCCTTAAAATTGAAGAATCCGTGCATTTGCATAACGCATTTCAAAGACGAGGACATTGAGGGAAGCTTAAAGTTTCAGATGGGTAAGTCCTAGCTGTAAGCCACCGGAAATGTTTAATCAAATTGTTGTATTTTAATAAGGACTTGCCAAAAAACGAACTTTGCGGCCGGGTGCGGTTCCATGTTTGAATAAAAGTCAGGAAAGTCCTTCGGAAAGAGCCCGTAATGAAAGGTCACAGCGGCGCAGAAATCAGAAACTGGTTGCCGAACTCTTAGCGGAGGATGAAGTCAAGTTGAGTTCTCCAGCAACGTCTGGTTTTTTGAGTTTAGACCAGGATAAAGTTGAGTTTTCTGATGCTTTGGCCATCGATCTCGATCCACTTGTTGCTGAGGATAAACTAGAAGAACTAGAGAAATGCCGCATCTGTTACAAGGACTTCATGGTAGACTCCCGTGCGAAGGATCTCTTTGATGAAGCCAACAGTGTCTTGCTCTTCCACATCGAAGTCATTAGCGGCGTTTGGGTTGGTTCTAATTTATTTTTATATCACAAATTTTCATTACCTAAACTAAAACTTTTTCAGATCAGCCACAAACCTGACCAACCTCACCTTATGTGCCCTGCTTGTATTTCATCCCTGGATCAGGCCATCGAATTTAGGGAGATGTGCATCAACACGGAGCTCATAATCAATCAACCAAAGCCCTTAACTGTCATTAAGCCAGATACAGCCGAGTTCGAGACTCAAACTGGGGAGTCTGCTTCATCAATGCCCGATTTGGTTTTTGATTCGGAGTGCAATAACATAGAAGAGATTGAAGACGTAGAAGACCCTGTCGAAGATGAAGTTATAACAGATGACCAGTTAAATCAAGACGCAGTCGTAGAATCTGCGCAGCCAGACTCACAGGATCCACTTAGTGTGGCCCTGGGGGCCAAGATATTTAAGGAACTAATAGATCAATATACGGGTAACGAGAAAAGTAAAAACAAAAAAGAATCTCCAATTGCCAGGAAGCCTAGAACCAGAAAAGCCGTTGCTCGTGAACCAAAACCAAAACGCAAAGCCAACCCGAAATCCAAAGAAGAAAGGAACCTTATTCGACGTGCCCAGCTGCGAGAAAAGCCGCCGAATTATGTGTGCGATCAGTGCGGACAAGCCTTCCGCATGTCCCACAACCTGCGGATGCACATGCTACGGCACAGTCGCACCAAAAATTATCAGTGCACTGAGTGTCCAAAAACCTTCTACGACGCCTACATGCGCAACATACACATCCGCATTCGTCACCGTGGAGAAACACCTTTTGCCTGTCGTTTCTGCAGCGAAACGTTTGCCTATGCGGGAGCTCGGCAAAAGCACGAGAGGTAGGTGGTAAATATAAATGTAATCGCTACAAGTCTACAAATTACTATCCAATCTATCAGTGAGGTCCACAATGCTGCGCCACGACTTATTGTAAAGCGAATCAATCCCAAGCCCATGCCTAAACCCAGAGAAAATGTGCGCTACCAGTGCAAGCTGTGCTACAAACATTACGCCTCCAAGTATGCACTTGGTTGGCACATCAAGGCGCACACAGATGCGAACGCGTACAAGTGCCAGCGATGTAGCAAAAGCTATTCTGATCCTACCAAGCTCAAGCGTCACGAGATGACCCACGAAAAAAGGCCGCTGCAATGTGACGTTTGCTTGAAGGGATTCTATCAGCGCGCACGACTGCGGGAGCACGAACTTATTCACACGGGCGAACGTCCTCATTGGTAATTTAACAATGTGGTCTGTTTTCTAGCTCCTCTAACTTATTCTTTGCAGGTGTGAAGTCTGCAATATTCACTTCCGCTACAAGTACAACATGAGGACTCACGCGAACAGTAAGATGCATCAGGAAAACGTTCGCAAATTGGAACAAATTATGGATACTGAATGAAAGGAGATTTTGTTTTTTAACTGCTGTTGTTTCATGTATTTATGGCGGAAGGTTGCACTGATTTTGTTTTGCGTTTTTTTCTACGTTCGTTTTCGATGTGACTGGAGGAGTTGATGTGCTGAGTGAAGTTTCCAGCGCGCAGGAACCAGAGATCGCATACTTCGCAACTAAAGAAATTAAGGAAATCAGCTATATTTATGGTTAATGACTAGACAACTTACTGGAAAGTGCGTTCGCCTTTTTTGATGATCTCCCACTTGGACTGCGGCGCTCGGCCCTTTTTACAAGCCTCTCTGTGAAATGGAAAGCCATGTAAATTAAGCATTTGAAACCTTTAATTTACCCACCTTTCATGTCTAACTCGAGAGCTATTCGTGCTGTATTCCAAGCCGCAGAATGTGCAGGCGTACGGCCCCTCCGTGTGCTTGAGCTGGTGCCGACGGAGCAAATGGAGGGTATAGCATTTCTGGTGGCACTGCTCGCACTCAAAAGGCTTCGTCCCTGTGTGCCGGAGAAGGTGAACGTTGAGATTGCTGGTGTCCTTGAATTGCCTACCGCAGTGCTCGCAGATGCAGGGCTTTGCGTTCTGTCCATTTCGGTCCACAATTCGCTTCGGTTGCTTGTCGTCTATGACCTTTACGTGGATTAGCTTTCTGCCCATGCGCATTGTGTGCTTACTGGACTTGATTTTGGTCTTTATTCTTGCCTGTTCTGGCTTGTTGGTGGTAGTGGCTACTATTTCAGTCTGTGCTTCTCCATAATCTTCGGGTAGAGGCAAGAAATCCTCACTCGGCGATTCCTCGTAGCTGGTTCCTACTTCGAGTTGATTCACTGCATACAAAGATTCGGTTTCCTGCTCCACTTGCACCTGACTGGGTTCCAATTTGATTTCACTGGCTGCCATTAACTCGTCGATTCCCAGTGGATCCGGGGCAACTGTTTGCTGGACTGGAAGCTGAAGCGCAACTGCTGCTGGTGCCTCGCCCAGATTCATCCGGCTCCGCCGTCTATTAAAGTATTTCTCGATCTTGGCACAACGCCGTCGGAATTTTTGGACCTGCTTAAGTAGCATCTGGCAATCCGGGCACATGTGGTTGGGCAAATCTTGAGAATTCTGCAGCTGCAATATGGTAAACAATATCTAGTCAAAGGGAACATAATGGAAATTAATATTTGTCCTCACCCAGCAGTTCGTTATGGAGCGCACGCACTGCAGCAGTTTTCTGCCTTCGGGTGAGAAGATCTGGATACACCGATGGGCCACGATGGTCTTGCCGCAGGTGCGGCAGAACTGTTTCATTTTTGCCTAATTGATTTGCCAATTATTTAAATTTATTTGTTTGACATGTAGAAATGGTGTGCCCGTTGTCCAAATTGCAATTAAGGTTGGGAAATGAGGTCACGTTGGTCACACTTTATTAAAAAATATAAAATGTAGAGATGGACCAAAATTTAATACATTTTTGTTTTCTTCTTATAATAGAAAAAATATTTTACAGATTCTATAGATAAAAATATATAAAAAAGAAATTAAGATAAATAACACTTTACATGTAAGATAATACCGTGTCTAATTTTGAGGCAATTACTTTTCCACGAACATTTTAGTATTTTCTGCGCTTTGAGCTATCGATAGGCAGCCGTGAAACCGTGTACGATGGATGGTGACTCTGGCCGTTTCCGCCCTCCATCTTTCTGCATTGACTTTTCACGATGGTGAGTTCGCTGCGACTGAATTCTGCAAAAATAATAGTTTTTTACTGTGAAAGTGGCCAGCAAATGATTGAAAAACATTACTAAAGTGCCGCCCCAGTTCTGGGCATTGAAAACACAACCCATTAAAATGGAAAAAATGTGAAAATACGGACAAAAAACAAAACCATGCCTTAACCTCGAAAGCGGCCAGCTTCAGGAGCTGCTCCGGTGGTCAATGGAGATTATTTATATTATGATTAGTGCCAGCAATTAACAGAAACCCTTTGTTTATCCTTTCATAGCCGCCTAAGAAGGACGCAAAGTCTTCGGCTAAGCAGCCGCAAAAGACACAAAAGAAGAAGGAGGGATCCGGCGGCGGCAAGGCCAAGAAGAAGAAGTGGTCCAAGGGAAAAGTCCGTGACAAGCTGAACAACCAGGTGCTGTTCGACAAGGCCACCTACGAGAAGTTGTACAAGGAAGTGCCCGCCTACAAACTGATCACCCCATCGGTGGTCTCTGAGCGTCTGAAGATCCGCGGTTCCCTGGCCAAGCGCGCTCTGATCGAGCTGCGCGAGAAGGGTATGTTATCTAGCTTGAATACCTTTTTTTTTGCAAATCTTAATGCATATTCTTTTCACTTTTAGGTCTGATCAAGCAGGTCGTGCAGCATCATTCCCAGGTCATCTACACACGTGCCACCAAGGGTGATGAGGCGTAAATATTTTACCTTTTACCCATCTCGCATCTCTGTGGTTGCAATCGCTTTACAATGGATCTGATTGTATTCGAGATCACTACGATGCCGCTGTGCGTGAAATGTTGAATAAACTTGCTTTCTTATTGATGTAAGGGACATTTGCGTGATGTTTTATTAATATGACACCCAATCAATGGGTTTATCACTGAGCAGTGGTCTTAAATAGTTAATAGGTTGATAGCCGGGAATATAGTGGTTTTCTCAGAGCGTAAATGTAACGAAATAATGATTAGCGTACTAGACCAAGCTTTGTAATATCTCGTTATAATCAGAAAAAGTTTAATTCACGTATAAAGTGTATTATTATCATTTAAATGTCTTGCCTATTACGGTGCATATTGGGATAGGCAGGCAAAACTTGAGTTATTTTTTTTACTGTAAGGACATTTCTTTAAAGAAATTCGGTTTTTCAAAAATACGAATCTGGTTTTTTGTATTCCACTAATGCAGGACGGTATTAATGAATAAATTAAAACTATATCACGGCAATTACATATTTTAATTTTAATACACTACATATCTCAAATTGAAAACAAATATCAAAAAAATATTCTATTCGTTATATCCAATAAGAATTTGTTCTCGAACTCTTCTTCCTTCTAATAGCATTCACACTTTGCGTACCCACGTGACAATGAAATGGATAAACAAAATTTACAAAATGTTAATATAATTTGTGTTGATAAAAAGTTTACAAATAGACACAGACATATTAAGCATTTGGAGCTCGTTTCTTTAAAGTAAAGATTATATTATAAAATAAGAAAAAAAAAATAGTTGAACAAAACTGATTTTTTTTTTAAATTTATTAAGTAAAGAGCATATAAACAACACAGGGGTGGAAAATAAAAAATATAACAAACCTTAATTAATGTAAGAATGAAGACGAAACAAAACATCCGAAATATATAAATAAATTTAATTTTGATATTTTTACCGTAAATGTAAGTTAAATTGTTGGTCACTTGTTTATATTGGATTCAGAGTATAATACAAATTTTAGATAATAATTTTGATAGTTTTGAATGAATAACTAAAAAATATCTGGAAATGGTAAAGAAACAGTTGGATTTCTGGGCTGTCATCCCAGTAATAGTATAATACCCAGCAAACATACAGACGGATGGCCACTGTTCCCAGTTGCCATTCACAGCGAATTAATGCGCAAGTACGACCGAAATGTTTACGTGGTTATCTTTATTTTGATGACAACACGGCAGATTGGTTTGGTGTTGGCAAAGACGGGAGTTCGGTTCTGGTATCTGGCAGCCAGTAAAAATGAATTAAGCTTTAGCAAACTCACAGATCGACCAGCCCGCTCCGCACAACTGTGCACACAAAACGACGACGTCGAGCAGGAAGCATTTTGGTTGTGAGGTAATTTGGGAATCAAAGAAAATACTGCCGCCGCCACACGCGATAAAGATTCTTACGAACCCGGCCAGAAACGGATTGAGAATCACGGAATCAGCTGGAGCGCTGCTATAGCTCCCCAAAATACCACGTATGCAAACAAAGTGTGTTATCTTAGTTTCTTCACTCTTATGCAGATCTCGGTTCCTATTGCAGATTTCTAACCGGCAAAATGATACCGCTATCGCACAAGGACCGTAGCAGCTTTGGCTACCGGGTCCGGGAAAAGCTTAACAGCTGGAAGCGGCTCATCTTTTCTGACCCCAACTCTCGGAATCTGTTCCTGTTCCTGCTGCTCAACCTCAGCTTCGCCTTCGTAGAGCTCTTCTATGGCATCGTGACGAACAGCTTGGGTTAGTTTTTCGCTTCTAATTGCTTTTTATCTTATCCGTAATTTATAACCCTCTTGTTGCTTAATCCATAGGACTGATCTCCGACTCGTTCCACATGTTCTTCGACTGCACTGGCCTCTTGGCCGGTTTGGCCGCCTCTGTTATCACCAAATGGAAGGCCAACGACAAGTTCTCTTACGGCTATGTGCGTGCGGAGGTGCTGGCCGGTTTTGTCAATAGTCTGTTCCTGCTGTTCATCGCCTTCTTTATCCTGTCGGAGGGCGTGGAACGACTGATTGAGCCGCCGGAGGTCAAGCACGAGCGACTGTTTGTGGTCTCTGTGCTTGGTCTGCTGGTAAACTTGGTGGGCATCTATGCATTCAATCATGGTGGACATGGACACTCGCACGGTGGTGGTGGACACGGGCACTCCCACGGCGGAGGACATGGGCACTCGCACAGCCACAACGACTCCAGCAATCACAATCACCAGGCCATCACCTTGGACAATGGTAATTTCTAGTGTGAGGCCACATCTCAAGGAGTTAATTTGAAGAAGTTACAATTATGCTTTTGAAGTGGGATTTAGTTCCTCATAATTGAACTTAGTCACAAAAAAATCAAATTAATATTCTATTACACATAAAACCTATAATTTCCATATTAATACTAATAATTAGAAACTTAAAAAACCTAGTTTTCTGATAATAACATTATAATTATCTCAATACTGTAGGTCATGGACATTCCCACGATCACGACAGCCATGGCCACTCGCATGGAGATATGTCGGGCAGCAATTCGCAGATCATGCGCGGCGTTTTCCTGCACATCCTGGCCGATACCTTGGGATCGGTGGGCGTTATCATCTCAGCGGTGCTGATGCACATGTTCGGCTGGATGATTGCGGACCCAATATGCTCCATTTTCATCGCCCTGCTCATAGCGCTCAGTGTACTGAGTCTGATTAAGGAATCGATAATGATCCTGATGCAGAGACAACCCTCAGATCTGGATAGATCACTGCCACAGTGTTACCAGAAGGTCACAGGATTGGCCGGAGTTTATGCAGTTCAGGAACCGCACTTCTGGACCCTCTGCTCCGATGTCTACGTAGGAGCCCTTAAGCTTGAGGTCTCCAAAAACGTCGATCCAAAGTATGTGGTAACGCACACGAGGATGATCTTCGAGGCGGTGGGTGTAAAGCAGATATATATTCAATTGGATTATGTTTGATCCAGAAGGGATCTACCCACCGGTGTCCTTGTGTATATTTAACAACGCGAGTTGTATGTTTGTGTGCAGTGCGAACGGGCGTCGATGTTATTTAAAATTATTTGAAAATTTTAGTTCCCTACGACGCCACGAGATCCCATCACTTCCCAAACCCCCTCCAAGAGTAACGTAATATAAAATGTTTAATCTTCAGTTGTACTAGAAATTTTCCGAATTTTGTTAACTTATTAACGTTTTGTATTTGTTGAAATGCGCGCGGCATTCATTCCATACTATGCATACTGAAAGCATAACATAATGTATGCATTAGTCGATATCGAGGAGCATTAGTGTAATTGTAAGCTAAGCGAAAGAAATTGTGCAAGAGTAAATATATATTTAAAGATTTTTTAAAATTCAGTATGAACAAAACCCGAAACATGCATACCTACAAATAGCATATAATATGACTGACATTTCCACGGACATTCCGCTGTGCGGTGGAAGTGCATTAAGTGAACCGTTTTGCCACAGTTTGAAGCATCAAAATTATGAACGAAATAAAATTTAATTTGTTATTAGCATTTTTATACGTAAAACGAAAAGAAACTAGTTTTATTTCCGGTTGGGTGGGTTTTTTTTGAAATACTTATGTACATATGTATGACATTCTTTTTTTACAAAAGTAGTAATTTGACTTGATTTTTAAGATTTCTATTAACAAAGATATCCAATTTAAAATTTTTTTTCGTATAGTGCGTTTAGGTAAATCTCAAAATATAGATATAGATTTTTATAATGCAGGTTAGGTGTAAGGACTTTTTATACTTTTCTAACATTTTTCGAAATGAGTAAAACTGATATTGGTAAAAAGATTAAAAAATTTCCCAAACAGAACGAAATGGCCTTGACAAACATTTAAGACCTTTAAAAAAATTGAAATTTATATTGTGCTTCGTTTTCAAAATTACCAAAAATATTACTTTTCAATTTTTGCAATATATTGAAAAAACTAGAAATAATTGTTTGAAAACAAATTGTATTTTAATTTCTCAAGTTAGCCCAAGTGAGAGTCCACTGTGCGCATCTCACACCATGCGATAGGCAACAGGTCGAAACGTTTCGATGAAATGGAAATAAATAGCGCCTGTGCAGCTCAGCCATGCTCCAATAACAGATAAAAGCGGACTTATTGCCTAGCATTAGATTATAGATTTCCAAATGTGGACGAGTGAGGTGCATTTTGATAACTTGATTGAGGTTAAGTCGAACCCAACGTGCGAAACTGGGGCAAGTGGGAGTGCAGCGTGCAGAAAATAGTAATCCATTGCGCATGACCTCCAAATATATATGTTCATACACATGTTCGTATAGACATGAGTGCGGGCACGTGTACATCACTGTCAAAGGTCAATAACTTCGCCACTGCCCAAAAAAAGAAAACAAAAATTAACTGAAGTCTGCGTGACTCAGATGGCGGCGTCGACCTCTCGCTCCCACTCACGTCAACATACTGCGGCGTCTACCTATGCATAACTGTTAAATGAAAAGAAGTACAGGCATGCTAATTTACAGTTGTATATGGTTTCCGTTTAATTTCAGTACTAATGTTCCCATTTTCGGTTTATTTTCTAGTGAAAATGCATACAAAAGTGTAAGGTGTTGCTATCAAAATATTATTTTAATTACAATAGTTGGGGCAATTCAGTTGTTTAGATTGGTGTGATTAAACAATAAACATACATTTCGTCGAATTTATGAGTGCTCCGGCCAAAAAATTAGAAATAAAATCGCACAGATCGAGGGACAGGCATTTTGTCAGCGTTTAACATAAATTTAAGACTTTCAAAATTGTAACTAAGCATCTGATAAATATGTAGAAGGTATGCATGAGTATAGGATCCGTTAGGGAGGGGTGCGGGATGATGACACATCTAGCATTTTTCCTCCTCCAGACCGTGCTTGAAGAACATGAGCACGGGAACGCTATCCCCATTAATTTCGCGGTATTCCACTAGGGCCACCATGCCGTCACAGTCCATGGATTCGCCGGTGAAGAACTGCAGTTCCTTAAAACGACCGAGGATGTCCTTCATGGCCTTGTTCATATTGGTCTTAAAGACATCTACCTGGTCAGGCGACTTCTCCTCCAACTTGGCCAACACCTTCTTCATATAATCTTTTAGATAGAGGGTGTAGGACTTCTTGTCGCCGAAAGCAAAGCACTCCTGAAGTCGGTGGTTTAGCACAACATCAACGCCAGTCTCCGATGTGATTTCGGTGCCCTCGTCGGCTTCCTCAGCGGAGGCGTTAGCGCCGGCCAGAACGATATCGTCACCTTGGCGGGTGATCAGCTTTCCGTACACTTCATAGATCACGTCGTCCACCAGCTTCATCTTGTAGGTGTCGGCGAACATCTCGTCACCGGTGATGATGTCCTTGTAGATCTTCATGTTTATTGGATTTTGGGGAATCGAAAGGCGTCTAAATCGTTGGCGTATATGCAACTACAACTGCACCGGACCGGGAACACTGCGAAACAACGTGCCACGCGCTCACTTGAACAGCAAAAAGAAAGAGCAAGAGAAAATGGCGAACGAACTACCAACTCGTTCAAAGCCCGTCAGTCTGGCAACGCCAGGCCTAGGTGAGCCAGCTCCTGCTATCGTTGCGATATATTTTTAAATACATCGCATTTGAATACATCGTAAGTAAGGACAGGATACCTTTGGGTGAGAAAAAGTACCACAGGTTAAATAATAAATTGATATCAACAGGATAAATTGTTGTAACAATCCGCATTAAAAATAATTATGCATTGCCTTCTAAGGTGGCTAGAATAAAGACAATAATGTTTACAAATTTTTTATATCTCAATAAAAAATTATTGCTTAAACATAAAAAAATGTATGATTAGTTATAAGCAATAATAAAAATATTCGCGTTTGTTTGGTATCGACACCATCGAATCAGTATTCCGCTGCCTTTTCCAACTTAGTAGGACCACTGAGTACGGAAATTTGCCCAGGCAGACAACGGTCCTATCAATACAAGTTCGAGTGAAAAACAGGGAAATGTACGTAATTTCTGCAATGGCATTGCAAAAACCCTGATTTTGTGACTGCTTTTTGCAGGTATGCACTCTCCAGCTCGTTGATCCGCTCGCCGGCTTTGCGCCAGGGCCTCCAGATGGCAGCGGCCAGCCGACAGGTGTCGCTGAAAGTTGTCTCTGTGGGCGCTACCCAGAAGGACGAGTCGTTCTTTGAGAAGAACGAACGATTGGGCAGGAAGCTGTCGCCTCATCTGACCATCTACCAGCCGCAGCTTACATCCATGCTGTCGATCTGCCATCGCGGCACAGGATTGGCCCTAGGAGTGGGCGTCTGGGGCCTAGGCTTGGGCGCCCTGATCTCGTCGCACGACATCAGCCACTATGTGACCATGGTGGAGGGTCTCCAGTTGAGCGGCGCCACTCTGACCGCTCTGAAGTTCATCATTGCCTATCCGGCTGGCTATCACACCGCCAATGGCATAAGGCATTTGCTCTGGGACACCGGACGATTCCTGAAGATCAAGGAAGTCTACTCAACCGGTTACGCAATGGTCGCCACCTCATTCGTGCTGACCGCTATTTTGGCTCTGCTTTAAGCCCAAGGTCTTGGCTTTTCTTATTAAATTCTAGTGCGGACATTATGTGAAAATTGTTATATACTAAATACATGTAGTGTGTATATTTATAATTCTATTTGTTGTGTTACGCAATCTATCTAGCTGCGTTTAATAGGCTCCAATAATTTGTTATCCATTGCAATGGGTTAGACTGCCGTGTTTTCTGATGATTATGGCTAACGCATTTGGATCTCCCAAATTGTAGGCCGATTTAGGGAGGCTATTTGCGGTCCAGTGCCAGCAGGCGAATCAAGTGTACGCCCCGAAGTCCAATTGATGTTTTATTTTTAATGACCACCTAAAAGTCGGCATCATTTTGTAAAATTGATTGATTTGACAAGTAAGTCAATAGAGTATAAAAATCGTATTATAAACTGGTATACTGGAAGAAGTTTACCGTAATTTTATGTTCCTAGGATTGCTTTTTTTAACCTTCACTATCTCTTAGTGAAAATCCATTATTGTTGACTTTTTTCCATATTATGTTATTTATTTATTGTGAATTTTGGATTATTATTTGTAAAAGCTGCAAAATGTAGTGCAACGGTTGTGGATGAGGCTAATATGTATCTAACAACTAATATCACAATCGATGTAATGTAATTGAAACTTCTTCTCTGGTGAATTCTTAAACTGGAGTCCTCTACTGAATGGATCCATGCTTGTTGCCATCCATTTACGTTCCATTATCATTATCGCTGCCGCTTTCCTTTCCGTTTTCGATCGAAGGAAGCAGTTCAAAGTCGCACACCAGGGAAAAGTGATCTGATGGATATTGGTAGCTGGGTGTGCGATTTTTGCCGATTTGCTCGCCACCCGGAAAACCTAAACAGTTTTTGATCTGAAATTAAAAAGATTTGTATAAGACCACTATATAGTTTACAACCGACTTAGAAAATTTACCTTCAGACGATCGGGTGTGTAGAAGACATAGTCGATAGTGTGGCACTCTTCGCCCTCCTCACGTATCTTCCAGGTTGTATACGGAGGTTCCCGTTTCATTGACTCCGAGACGAACTCGTTCACATCCTCGCTAGGATTTAGAATTACCTCGCGGTCTAGCTTCACATCGGCATAGGCACTGCCCAAACGGAGAAGATCGCATCCCAGAATCGTGGCGTAAATGGGCTCCACGGGTTCAGCATTAAAATCGCCGCAAAGCAGCAGGGGCGTTTCGCCGGCAAACTGCTTAACAAATCGGATAAGATCTCGGCCCTGTTCGTTTCGCAATTTGGCCAAAAGGGCACCGTGTCGGGCCTTTAGGTGGGTGGTGGCTACGCAGAATTCTCTGCCGTTGGCTCGCATTCGTAGCCGTGCGGCAATGGCCACCTGGTTGCTCTGTACCCGCCACACTTCCAGGATCCTAGTATCGTATCCCTGTAGTTGCAGTTTATCCCTCTTGTAGAAAATGGCACAGCCATCCGGTCCATTATTCTGTTCGATATACAGACACGGAGAGTCTGGCTTCGGGAAAAATATTCCAGCATAATTCTGGCTACCCAGAACCGTCTGCAGGAACTTGAAGTGGTCTACTTCCTGTTTGGGTGCATTAATAGAAATGTTAAAGCGCTACTGTCTCTGAAATCGGGTATGGTGATTATATACTTGAAGACAAATCACATCGGGCTGGTTCTGCAGGATCTCCTGGACAATCAGGTACTTGCGGTGCTCCCAGGTGAGGGCCTCCTCGGGACAACGCACAAATCCATCGTTGTGCTGGCCGAGAGCTAAAGTATTTGAAAATTGTGATTTATATTTATGTTATAAATGGATACATTTATACTTTACTTCTAGAATATTTATATATATGTAAACAGATTAACTGAAGGAACATCGTATTAATACTCACTTTGCGATAGGATGTTCCATTGCAGAAGTCGAATGTTCTGCGAGACGTCCCCCTCAACTGGAGCACTGCAAACTGTATTAATACATTAGATTATATCCTTCAAATAAGACAAAAATGCAATTGTACCTCTCGATACGGAGTTCAGCTGAAGACAACGGAGTCCATCAGCAACATCATCGTCCACCAGGAGTGGTTTCAGAAAGCCTCGGGTAAGCAGTGTGGGCTGCTCGATACCACCTCCTCGCAATTGCTGTACGTGCTGAAGGAGAGCCGAAGTACTCAGACCAGCCGGCAATTCCAGGCCATCGTCCTGCGAGTCCACATTGTTGATCTTTGGAGCCGAGTTGAATGAGCCCATTCTGGAAAACAAATTAGAATTTCAAATTAGTTTTTCAATCATAGTCAAAAAGATTTAGATCGAATAAGCAAACGGGTTTATCATTCACTATTCAATTATATTGCTTTTAAAACACAAAGATATAACCAACAGACTTTCGTTGGCAACTTTTAATTTGTGTTTTCTTTCAGCATTTCAATCGAAAAAACAACTGATAATAGCTTCTTGCAACAAACAAACAACTTTCAGCGAAAAACACCAAATAAACAACATCAATAAAATATATAAAATACTTCAACATTTTCGTGTACTCACAAAGCTTCTGGTTTTCTATATAGAATTTTTCTCAGTATTATGCTGAAAATGAATAGACTATGACTATGACGTTGATTCGTATAAAATTTTCCCATTTTCACTTTGCTGCAAAAAATTATGTGGTCGTGTTAAATGTTGTGTTTTGGGAGGAAAAGAAATATTCAAAAATTGTTAGGTTTTTAATAAAATTTTTGGAATTAAGATAAATAAAATGAAAAGGGCAACTAAGGAAATTTCAGGCTTAAAAAAAAAAAAGAGGGAACCTTTTAAAATAAAGTTCATATTTGATAAAAAAAAACATATAATATCATATTCTAAAAAATAAACTTTTTAGTAGCTCTTTCCTATGTTAAGGTTTCGTTCTAATTTATTTTGAATCCTTTTACCTTTCACCTTTTTAAGGCTTTATTTTTGATTCTTCTTCGATTCTTATGATTAACATTCTTTTCCGATACTAAACTAGTAAGATTTCCCTATGAAGTCAATCACCAAAAAGCTAGAACTTTGTTTCATTAACATTTAAAAAACATTTGAAAAAACATTTCTGGTTTTTGTATACCGAAACTCTTAGCAATTAGCACATATGCTCTGATTCTAAGGAGATTACCGGGAATTATAGAGGGAGACGGACTAGAGGGGAGAGGTTAGAGGAGGTGTTGGATCGCCCACGCGATGATAATCCCGCGAAACAAAAACAAAGGCGAAAAATGTCGCTCGGTCAATAGCTTCGCAGCTGTTGGGCTGGTTTGCTTGGCTCCGCGAGAGAATCGAAACCAGTTCCCGCCGGGGATTTGATGGCGAGTGGAGACTGGATTTGGGGCTTACGGGTTTCGGCCTGTCACCGCAATCAATCACCCGCCGACGGTGGATCAGATGCCCCCGAAAAGATCACCCCTTACCACGTTTTCTCTCTCACCTGGTCAGCATCACTTTTTGCAAATAGGCTTTTCGATCGTTTTTACAGGGCGCCTTGTTGGCTCGCTTTATGGGCAGTGCTGGCTCCATATTGTCGCACAGGATCAAAGGATGTGGAATTTTGGGTAGGATATTTAAGGTAGGTTTTTATGGTTTTTTTTTTGTTCTTGGTTGGGATGTTAGATCTGCGATCTGGGGGCGCCGGAACGAGGTGCGCTTGCAAGCGACTTTGGCGAAACTGAATGCCAACTGAAGTGCGGGGTTTTATTAGAGAGATCATTCGAGCTCGGGGCAGCGAAAAGATCGCGAGGAGAGCACGCACAAACGGGTATTTCGCATACGAGATGTATCTGCAAGATACTACAGATACCCCCAGAACGAGATCAATACGTTCGGCTCACGTGTGAGAGCACCCCGCCAAAATGCTAAACAAAAGAACGATTCTATATGACTGTGTCGGCTCTCGTTAAATATTTATGCGGCCAAGGCGGCGGGGTATGAGCTATCAGTTAATGAAAACAAAAGTGCTTCTACCATACTACTTCAGTATGTATGTATGCATGCAAAAAAAATAAAGAAAATAAAGAAAATGGAGAAAATAGCCAGTCAGCATCAAGCATCCTTAGCTAATGCCTGGCGGTGTTGCATGCCTAAGCAGAATTCCAAATGTTCTCAAATGCTAATTTGCGCAGACAAAAGATACAATTGTGTCTGCACAATTTATACAGCAACGCAGTTACATGCGTAATGAGCTGTCCGCCCAAGATATATAGTACCTATATATCTATATATTTGCATCCGATTTGCTGAGCAGAGGGGGATTTCGTTACCTGGGAATCGGCACGGCCACACGTCTTGCGAACGTCTTCGATGTGACGATCAAACGCGATGTTTTCATTAGATACTCCATTTTTGAATTGTTTTCTGAAAAAACTTTACTTTCTTGACCAAGTAAAAATTATCACTTTCAGTTTATTCGGTTTCTTGGATTTTAAAACTGGGATTCTTCGTTTCTTTTTTAGTTTTTTTTTTTAGTTTAGGGTATTAGGATAATTTGAAATGTTTTATATTTAGTGTCAGTATGGCAATGTCAAAGAGACGCGGCCCCATCTGTGTTTCCTAGAATGGTTAAAATTTTTACAAAGTTAGATGGTAATTAATTGGGTTTTGATCATGCCTGAACGCCACTTGCAAAATGCTTTATAATGCTTTATCTCGGAGCAGAATTTTGAACTTGATTTAATCATTAGGCACGTGTCGAAGCACTTTCGTGACCTAAATGCAATTATTTTACTCATTGATAGGATCTTTTTACTCCATTTACACTGATATGATTTCAACTTAATTGTCACTTATGAATTATCATTTAAGTTAAGTTTTTAGCTGTACTTAGCTTACTAAATCATCATTGAAAGTCATGAGTGAATTGGGAGAATTGCAAGTTACACTATTTTTTTTATTTTACAACTTTAATAAATAATATTAATGGGTTACTAAATATGACCGTTATGGTATTAGAACTTTGTATAACAATTTCTTATGGCGATAATGATTCTAAAAACTTTTGCATTTACTTCTACTTACTAATAAGTGAAAGGAAATAAATCTTAAAAAGAAATTGAGGAACTATAAATGCATTAATATTTTAAGCAAACGTTCCTTTTCTTCTAACCAAAAATAAATATAACCGAACAACATAAATGATAAATTAATTAAAAAAAAAAAGCGCTTTTATAGTTTTCTACATAGCATAAATGCGTTTCACATATTTTTGTTTTATTATTATTATTATTTTTAATTAATTCAGTCGTATTTCCCCTTTCCCTGGCATACAGCTATGTATATATATCTATATACTGTCAGTTTTGTCATGATCACTTTCGCGCAAATTGTGCAAGGTTAGTTTTTGTTGCTCTCGGTGAGCTGATGTTGTTGTTGTTGATTGCCGCTAAGTGGCTTTGAGGCCTGGCCAATGCCTAAGAACACTTGACACGCTGCCAGCCATGAACTTGATTTATAAGCACGACAGGTAAGGCATACAGCCTTACCCTGTAAGAAACGAGTCTCTCACCTCACCAGATACAAGAGCAAATCGCGAGGCGGCTCAAACTCCAATTCTCCAGTTCCAGCCGATGTTGAAGCTGGTGTTGCAGCGGAACTACTCTGGCCGAGATTGATATCGATATGGGGGCTGGCCACGCCCAGCTGTTCATCCATTTCCTTTTCAATTTCCAGTTTACGTGCCGCCAGGCGCTGTTTCATCTGAACGGTGGAGGTCATGGCCGAGGTCTTGGCCACAGCTTCCGCAATCTCATATTGCCTAAGGAAATCCTGGCGAAATCCGTCAAGCGTAAGGCCTTGAGGTTGTCTGCATTCGGGACCACACAGGCGATGGCACATCTCATTAATAGCCATGTGGCGATCGATTAGGTGATCGGGCGCCGATCGCAGGCAATTTGCACAGGGTATATCCCTTTGCGAATCACCGGCCAGTTTTTTATCTTCCTCATGATGATTGGGTGGCTTAAAGTCATCATCATTTGGTGATGGTGGCTCATCTGTTACACTAAAAACCTGAGGTGGTATATCATCTTCTTCGATAACCTCGGAACCACCATCACTTCTTCTGTAATCCAAAGGATTCACTTCTAAATTAAGCAATAGAGCTGTTACTGGCATGGCCTTGCCCAAAGCTGGCTGACGACGATGGCCATAGTTTCCGGTACTCTTTTGATCCATTTCACTTATTACTTTTATTTCATTGACCACGCTGCGTATGAGTTATTAATCGAGCTATGCAATTGTACATATGAATCGAGCGCACTTCTGGCCGTTTAGAACAGCCAACAATTAATACGCGCGTGCGTTGCCTTTCCTTATTTATATCTTCTGGCCGACTCTAGCCGAGATCGAGGCAATCAAGTGCCAGCTGCCAGTTGCCAGTTGCTCAGTTCCCTGATCTGATCTCTCTCGTTTCTCATTAAAAAAAAAAAGAGCAGACAGATTGCCGCTGGTTCAGTCATTCAGTCATTTCAGTCATAGGTATAATATATAGCATGAAATCGAAATTGCCACTCTCATTCGGTTCGTTTAAAGGCAAACCACATTTTGTTTGATTACTTTCCAAAATGTCAAATTTATTATTAGCCAAATAGTGACTCGGTTTTGGTTGCCTAAAAGTCATAAGCTTAATGCTAAATATAATACTTTCATCGACTTGACTTTAAACTTGACCCGATGAATCAGTATGACAAGCGTTGTTATTGTTTCGAAAGCATAACAAACAAGATTCCACTTGAACTTACAGCTGGCTGAGGTTATATCGAGTGTGAAATAATTACAAATATTACAAAAATTGTGTTTACAACAAAAAAAAAAACAAAAAAGATAATTAAAGGAAGTAATTTGTGTTACATTCAAACATTTATTTCTAATCAATTTCGAGCGTGTTACTTAATTTTGAAGTGCAATGGTGGGTAAAATGGCAATTGAATTCCGTATTCCGCAAACAATCAATTACAGATAAATAAAGTACACTATTCAATCAGCTGCGATTGATTAATTAGGCTCTATGTCAGCCGCCTGTCACTTGACATCCACACAGACATAATTAATTTTACGCCTCAGTTTGTTCCTCCCCAAAATTGCAATCGAAAGAGAACGACGTCAGGAAAGACGAGAGCCTCCAATGCTAATTTGTAGCTAATAAATTATTATGCACTTTCATGATTTGCATTAATTCAAGAGCAAATTGATTGCAATTCATTTGGCTAATAAACTAAAAACAAATTGAATGAATAAAACGACTTCCATTTATTTCCGCAATACGGGAATCTATGGTATTATTCAATGAATCTTTTTATATAAATTGGTAAAATTGAAATAAAGCAAATATTGATTTAGCCCACTTTATAGTTTTGAAGCTTTCTTTGACGGTCATGTTGGGTTATGGTCAAGGCATTTAATGAATTTCCTTCTATTTTTAAGTGTTCTTGAAAGGCTGCCTAAAAGTAGGCAAATGTTTTTGTACTTTACACTGGTTTTACATATATTTCGTGTAAATAAGGAATTTAACAATTGATTCACAAACATATGGTTTCCTATTAAACAAATATACCCTCTCAATCGTGTTTGTTCAGCTGCTATTGAACTTGATCTACTTCATTGAAAATTCTCTATATTTTTAGCCATACATACCTATATATTATCTTGAGTCAATTTACGATAAAGCACTAATTAAATATAATATTCTCTTCCCCTTCCGCAGGTGTGACGCTTACTCTACAAACGTTTTTGTACGGATCTTAATTTTTTTTGGCAATGCACTGCGGAAAGTCGAGCAAAATCAACAAGAGCAGCGGCCGACATTGAGTTTTATTTATATGGCTATATGTACATATGTACGTGAGTATAGAAGACTGTGGGGAGTCGTCCAAATGCGAGAATGCCACATGAACTTGGCAACAGGTTCGCTCAATTTATGACAGGCCCAAACCTCGTGGGAGAGATAACAGTGAATTGTATAAAGAAACTATGTAAGCTCTTTTATTGACAATTCAGCTAACTATATTGTGGCTGGGACACCTGCTCTGTCTAGCTAATCGATCGGGTCATCGATCAGTCATCTGATATAGATTAATCCAAAGGCAAACAAAAAACGAATAAAAAGCGAAAAAACGCCAGAGATTTGATAAGCCTATCAGGGGAGATTTTACATACAACCATCTGTGCTGCTCGACTATCAGATGACCTGTATGCATCTCAGATTGCAGTTCAAAATAAGTTGATTAAAATTACTATATTATTTTTTAAGACGTAAGCAGTTTTACCTTTTACACCCTATTCCATGAACTAATATATGAATGAATACTTCCCTACTTATAAATTTTATTTCCTTCCACTCATTTAAGTTAACTTTTCTTTTAGTTATAGATTACATATGTAAGAAAATATAAGAATTTTCTTCCTTATTACAGGGTATAGAGAACTAGAGTACTTTTTGCACATTTATTGGCCGCCTTGTGATTATTTTTGTTATACAACAGCATAGCGACAGATTGGGACACATACTAGTACTACATATGGAGAGTATCGCATCGGCTTTGGCTTGGAAAAAACTGGTTCTACTCCGGCAAAAGCTGATTTCATCTGGACGCAAAATGAAACTTCGACCGCTTTTCCCGAAAGGTTTTTTGTGGCGCACTTTGCAAGTGGTTCAGTGGGGCAAATTCAATAAATCGCTCCGGTTTCGGAGACTCACCATTTTGCAGTCTGCACTACTAAGCACTACCACACATGGTTAGATCACGATTACAGAGTATCCAAAGAGTTCGCAGAGCCTTTTGGCCGACGTAAAAAAAAATATTATATATATATATAAATCTAATGTGAATTTGTCTGTGCTTGAAATTCAAGCGATTCAAATGCTCCGGCGAGCTGCAAAGAACTAAACTGGATGGTACGTGCTTTGAGACATTTATACCAATGCTCTCACTGCCAGCAGCTGATAAGGATAATGCCAAGAGACTGCTCTGTGTTTGTCTGCCCGAATGTGGCACCATCACCATTGCACAATCTTCCGGCGAGCAGACTCCTCTCACTCTCGCGGATTCATACTCTCCACCTCATTATCGTAATAAGTTCAATGGCTCACGCTCTCAGGGTCTGTAACACTAGTGTAAATACTCGCGATGGGCTCTTTATTTGGTTTCTATTGGGCAAACACGGCGTATGAGCGATATATAGAACTGGGAAAATAAGTCCACCTCTTTGTTGGTTTTTAGTAGCCTTAAAGAGTTTGTCAATACTTTTGAAGGATCAGAATTACTATAAAAGTAAGTTCATATATTAATATTAGAACATGTTATTTTTGCTTTTCTGTTGGTGTTTAAGTGATTTACCAGTAAATAAGATTAAATAAATCTAAAAAGTCATTATCCTTCATTTGTTTCTGTTTTCATTAAGTCATCTCTTAAGCTTAATGTAACCAATATGTTTTCCACGACCAATAATTCTCAAAAATTAGCTTAAAAATGATTATTTTTATGCCTTATTCTAAGGAAAGGTTATTTTAACGTTCCAAGAAATCACAATGGCAAGGCAATCTATTCTTGAGCACCTTGAGAAGGCACTTATCACTCACTTTCCCCAGCAAGCAAAGATTTCAAGACGTCAATCAAATGACTCACTTTGCTTGGAACTCAGTGAGTGGGTCAATTGTGAAAAATTTGTAAAAATGGCACTGATAACAATGCCAATGACATGAGAATCGTGTGTCTGGTCTTGTGTCTGGCATTTCGGAATATATCTTATCGGCAAAGGGAACCGAAGGCACAAGCCACTTAAAAATATTTCTCCCAACATAATGCCATTGGCCGGGATCAGCTGTAAAACTTTCAAATGGCTTTTGATTTATAAGTCATCGATAAGGACGGGGAATGCAGCAAAAAAAGTGACGTAGCCTGGATCTAATTGGTTTTAATTAGTTTGGTTTGGTTGGATTTGCGTAGTTCTAGCAAATCCCCACATCCCCTATTGGCCCGTCAAGGTCAGTGGCGGTGGGGAATAATATAACTATTTAGTATTTAGCATTTAGTATTAGTCGCAGCCAGTGGTCTAGCCGCTGAGATAAGATAAGGATTTCGAGTGGACCAAGCGCGGCCTTGTTTTAGTGCTTCGGTATAAAGTTCACTCTTTCGTTTATCTTCTATATAATATAATTTCGATTTTGGAGGCTTGTTGTCATGTATTTTAAGTCTACCAAGCTGATATTTGCACCTTATCAATTGGGTAGTCAATTTGACAAACGCGTGCCATTTACGTTTTGTGCAAATATATTTATTTATTTACTTATTCATATTATGAGTGTTTCGTTTATTATTTTGGAATTTGTACTGTTTTCTATATTTTCCAGTAAATATTCTTATCACATATTTTTTAACGGTACAACAAGCTGTACAAAGGCTTTATTCGGATTATGTGCATAACAGTAAGTGTATTCATATGTGAATGTAAAGCCTATAACTGAGTCATACCGGTTGGGTCGGGTTTTAGATGAAGGCTTAGGGTTTTAATCAATTTTGTGGTAGGTTGGGTGTTTCTGTTTCGAAGGTCGTGTTGCAAAATTTTTTGGTTTGTATAAATAAGGGGTTTAGGAATATTAAAACATTCAGTAAGTTTTGGTTATCTTTGCATAATGCACCATGCTGGATAAAAAGATAAGATAAACATTATGGCTTAATAGGTTTTTTTTTTATCTTTTTTTAACTATATAGATCTTAATTGGTAGATAAAAGCTTTTGAATACCAATTAATGATGGCTGGTTGACAAATATAATGATGGATGGACTGCTTTCTGGTATTGATTTGATAATTTATTGATCCAGCAACAAAAATCATAGTTTATCTTTAAATAGTCTCTCACAAATCAAGATAAAATGTTGTCCATGTTTTCGGGCTTATAATTTGCTTTCATCGAATTACATTCCATCAGTTATGATTACCCTCAACCAGTGGAATATTTCGAGTCCGGGAAATTCCGGTCAATTGTGATGAAATTACGGGTATCTCCAACAACAGATATTCATTTTAATCAGAAGAGATCTTATGTGCTTGTTGTAAATTATGTGTACAACGCCCTCAGAACGCAAGAGAATCCAAACACAGACACCAAAAACAGGCCCACAAAAGGACAGTTATAGTAATTAAAAACCCATTTCTGTTGTAACCCACCCACCCACACACACAAACGACAGGCACTTGGGTAAATTACAACAATCTCCACATGGAAACAAACCACATCCAATTTCCTACCGACCTCAAACCCAAACAAAAACGTGGTGTTTTATGGGGTAAGGGAGGCGAGCGAGAAAGAGACGCGGACAGAGAGCGGGAGCACTCACAAAGAGCGGGTTGGGCTCCATCTATATGACGCTCTCTCGCTCGCACAAGTCAGCAGATTGGAGCAAAATTTGTATTTTTGTGTAATAAACTGCAGGTCCAAAAACAAACCACATAAACAAAAAACAAGGAAAAAAAATATAAGAAAAACAGCAAACAAAGACCGAGACGTAAAAGCTTCACCACGGAAACGAAACTTAATTTATGAAAAGCAGCAAGAAGCCAACGAATTATTTTTGATTTGTTGTTTTATCAATAAGCTTCAAGATTTGTTTTCTTTTTAGGGGAGGAAAAAAGGGCGAAAAAAGGACAAAGCCTGGCACACCCACAAAAAAAAAAACAAAACAGTATTAGATAATTGGGGCCACTTACAGTAACTTCTTGATGAATTTGTAGAATGCCACAAGCAAATAAACAAATGTGGAAATCAGCTTCATTTTGCTTTAAACTTTTTTTTTTTATGTTTATTTTATTTATTTATTTATAGGAAAAACTAATTTTAAATGTCCCGAACCAGAGTTAACTTTTCATCGAATCGAAATTCTGTGACTTTCCGTCTTAACTGGTTTGTTTGGTGGCCGAAAAATGGTAACAAAACAAATAAAACACGATCCCGTAAAATTTGGTTAAAATTTCACTATCAATGTCATTTCCGCGTCGAACACGTTTTTCACACTAAGCGGTCACCGCACAAAAAAACTTTGGAGATAACGCTTTCTGTGACGTAGGAGAAGAGAGAATATTGTGAAGCTAAGAGTAATGGCTCAGCAAAGAGTGAGAGTGCCAGACGGCGCGAATTAGTGCAAGGCGGCAGAAAGGAAAAGCCAACTGAAATTCAAGTTGACTGGCTGGGCATCACCGACTGTTAAGTGCTCTGCATTACATATTGTGTAATTTTCAATATGTAAAATAAAGATCTGTGTAATAATTAGGTCCCTATCTGGACACTTTAGCCAGACTTAAAAATCATTAGGTAAGGGATTAAAGGGCTTGAACAAATTTACAAAATTCAAAGGCTTAGGCACATTTGAGGCTAAAGTTTAAAAACAGGCAACTACTTTTTGAAACGTTATATTAAATTAAAAAAGATCCACAATTTTTAAACAATAGATTTATTCCCCTATTTATTCATTATATAATTTCATATCGTAACGTCTCATTTTTAGTTTTCCAAATATTTATAAAAAATACTAAAACTCATAAATACTATACTTCTTTAATGCTGAGTTCAAAAACTCTTTTTAATAAAGTTGATACACCTTATACACCTTATAATGCACAAAGTCACGTCCACTTGTTGTGAGCGGGGCAATAAACTTTTGTGTGGGCGTACTTAAGAGTAGAGACCAACTAAATCTTAAGAGAGTTTACCAATTCAATTTTACAAAGGAATCTAAGAGTAATTTAGAGCTTTGATTGCTGAACAAAGCTCGTTGATGTCATCAGCTACTATAGAGCTTACGACATTCATGTAAAAATGTGTAAAAATTAAGCTTTTAATAACAGTTTACAACAACCTTTTAACAATAACATTACATCTTATGCTAAGTTAGCAAAAGAGCTAACAATTCGAGGTACGATGTCCTGGTGTCCTCTTTTAGATCTTTCAGAAATTCGATGGTCTATAGTCGTAGGCAGGTCCCATGCGTATGGATATGTTAACGGGCTCATTTAAACGCTCTTTCATTATTCTGGGGAATGGAATATTTTTATAAAACATGTTGAGATTACATTATTTATGTTATCTTTAAGATTATTACTGATTTTAATCTTTAAAAGCTAAACTATCTATTCTTTAAGTTTAAAATAAAAATGTATAAAAACTAGTTGCTTTATTTACTTAGAAACACAATTTAGGTTTTCAAAATAACAATTATACTTGGACTGCTAGACGTATTCTTATTTTCTTGTAAACAAATAAACAAATATTTTCTGTTGAAACACTCACAGAGGTCCACTCTAAAGTGGTCTACATTGTCCAAACCTTGAGGTAAACAATAACAATGGGCTTATCTACCTCTTTACCTATTCGAATATAAGTTTATAATGCTTACCGTTTATCTGCCTCGCTCTCGCAACCTCGATAGCCTTTTCGCCTGGCCGATTTGTTAAGACGTAACGATCGCCTGAGTTCTTTGGGCAGCGGTTTATTCGTCTCCCGTCTGAGGAAACTTCCAAATTTTTGGCACTTCTCGGTAAGATTATGCCACACCAACAGGATCAGTCTAGTGTGCCGCGAGGATTTAGATGATGATTTTTGGCCATTGGCGCCGCAATCACATAACTCGGTGGTGGAGACTACCCACGACGACATGTTGACACTGACTGACTTTGCAGAACCACTTTACAAATAACCAACGGCTATGACCACTTGGTTCGCCATTGATAAGATTCCACTGCCGGCAATCGAAGCGTTTGAATGATTTGCCATCGTCACTAGCCAAGTGCCCGGATATGAGAGACAAAGCGACTAAAGCTGAAGCAGTGCAGATTGCAGCTAAATTAGTACCGCAATCGTATTTCTCAACGTTTCGCAAAAACTCAATAATTCTCTTTGCCATAAAAGCAGACGAGATTTAAGGCCCTGCCCTCGGGGCAGGACTCATCATGTTTGATTTCAAAATGAAAACCAAATGCAGTGCGCTGTTCGAAAAAGGAAATAAAGTAGTTGACACAGAAACCTGAAATGTTCATCTAATCTCTTTTAACGATGCCTAAAAGTGTGCCCTAGAAGTTCATTAAATTCTCCCATTTAATATAATTTTAAATTTTTGTGATTTCTTTAGCATTCTTTAGCCTTTAAATATTTATAAATATTTTCTTTCTGTGCACTTTTCTGCTGCAGTTATGAATTTTTGCCATTGAACATTTTCAATAAAAGTCTCTGTCTGTTGTCCCTGTGACAACCACATTCCTGCCTCTTTGAGGGCGGGTAAGGGATATACCCACTGAGAGCATGTCCTGTAACAAAATACAAATAGATGCGTTCGTTCGGCTCCCATGTGGCCAACACCTAGGGACATTTTTGGACCGCCCTCTGTCCCCCATTAGGAGACCTACCACTCCCCTTTCTCCCACTCTTCTACACTGAACATCAGCCATTACGACCATTGGCCCCATAGCCATGGACCATGGATATCAGCATGCCAGCAAAATTGCATGTGGTCGAACGCAGTTTGTATGGAAAGGGGGGATATATTTGGGAACAGACCGGCGGAGGTCAACTGCATTGTTATAGCTGAAATTCGTTTATTGCCATATTGTTGGATTTTGATTTTGTCTACGAAACAACAATGAAAACAATATCGGGCTATAGTCAAGCTAAATTTTGGTTCTGTTCTCAAATTTGGATCCTGTCTGTTGGTTACTTGCTTGATTTTTCCTATAATTTTGTGTAGCTATGAGCTATGATTTTTGTGGTTTAAAGAGTATTCTGCTATCAATATTGATTGTTTATATAAATTTTTATATTTTAAGCTCAAAACTATGTCCATTACAAATTTAGCAGACCATAATTTTATTATTTTAATTGATAAATGGTCATGGATACCCTTGTTTCCATTCTGAGATCAACCAAAATTCCAAGGAAAACGCATTCAAACAATCACTCATTCATTTTTAAAGTATTTTCCTTCTAGCCGCATTTATTGATCGAAAAAATGCAAAGAAATCGGATGACAGAAGACATCTGCAGGTCGAAGGCTGTCCTACAGTCTTGGCTTTTGCTTCACCTGCGGGCGGGGATTTGTGTGTCAGCATACCTGGCCGGAGTCTTGACAACCATACCGAACAGAAATGCTTTTAAAATTCCATTTAAATTCCAAAAATACCGAGCAGCTGAGGGAGCTGCAAATCCTTTATGGAATAAACATAACCCCAAATACATCCATTGGCTGCTGATTCCAAGGGCTGTGCTGATGCTTTGATAGTAAATTGAATTGCAATAAAGGCAAATAGCATATTTATTTTGGTTATTTCTTATTTCATGTACTTTCTGAATTCATTGGCATTTTCCCTTATTTTATCTCCCAGTCTCTGTCCACTCCGGTTTCGTTTTGTGGGCTGCACTTTATTAAATTTTCAATAAACTACAAAGCGAGTTTACATTTTGTTTGGCTTCGACCAACTGGCCATCCTATCCCTTTGGCCTCCCTTGACATCGACGTACTCTTATTTATGTGCTCGGCTAAGGGATATTTTGCCAATTTAAATATTTTACATATTTTTGTAGTAATTCACTTCTGTTTACCGTTGTGCAATAAAATTCTGCAAAATATGCAAATAAACTGTTGCACTTAGTCGAATCAATCAATTCCACCTATCCCTTTGCCCATGGAACTCAGCATATTCAGGTCAATTCGTTATGAAGTCTGGGTTTTCCTCTTATCTTTTTGATCGAATTAAAAGCCAATAAATTAATAGAACATACTTAAAGTTGCTTTGTCGTTAAAATTTTCAATTATTTTGGCTTAAATGTGTTTTACTTTGACAGCGAATGGTTTTATTACTTAATAAATGTGGCCAAAAAATTTAAAATCTTGATTTATTATATAAAAATCTTAAGAAATATATTACTTCTTTGTCACACAGCTGCTCAGTCCTGCAATTAATTAAAAATATTTCAATATTTTTACAGGATGGCTGTTATTGGGCTTTTTAAATTAAAAAGTTAAGTAAAGAAACTTCTTTTTGTGTCACAAAAATGTGTTGACAAAAGTTTTTTAAATATAGAACCACAAAAATACAAAAGTAAACATTTTCAGGCAAACTTTTTAGTTAAGAAATGTGAATTAAAAAATCCTACCTATTATTCTACATCCTTAAACTACGAAATTTTTGTTTCTTTCCTTTCGCGTGCCATCACATTAAGGAGCCAGTAACTGACGGTCGCCAACCGTCGACAGTGGGCGAGATAAATGTATGCCCAATGCTGATGTGCATGCAAATCTACATTTTTGGACGATTGTCAAAGCCTGGAAAAATGGATGGATAAGGGGGGTTGTGGGCCCAGTAGACAGATGTCAAGACATCAGACTCGTTTCTATGTATTCGAGGCTTAACATATGCGACCCAAAACGTATATATACATATATATATAAAGAAGAAGAGTGTGGCAACTACATGAGCGCATTACAAGCACTAACAACAACAGCAAGAGGGGCAACCAAAATGTGGCAAGAAAAAAATATAAAAACAGCTAGAAAAACGAAAGAAAACAAATGAAAGTTTATGTTATAAAATGCCAAAGTGTGGTGGCACAATCTATTGGCGAGAAACAACAACAACAACAACAGAGTTGGTATGTGTTGGCATGGTGTGTTGCAGGCATAAAATAGCGTATATAAGATAAAGGATATGGCCCACCATCCCACTTGCCCCACTTCTTGTGGGTTAGCATGAAAATTGTACCAAAAGTCAACATATGGCGTTAAAGATGCGAACGTGCACCGAATCCTTGAAGTTTTCTCTATATTGCCGCCGCTCCGCATCCCACTCTGACATTCTATGTTTTTTGGTGTTGTATTGCTATCTCAGTCGCGGATTTAATTTTTTAAAAGTTTAAAGTAATTTAAAAGGTTTTTAATTAAAATAGTTGTTAGGAAGAATCAATAAGCTGATGACTTAAAAATGTTCAGTTAACATCAAACTTTCCCTTCAACTTCTACTTTTTGGGTTAACGAAGCCATTTCTTTGTTGGTTATAAAGTAAAAAGAGTTGAATTTATTATTCAAATTACTTAAATTTATTAAAACTCTTTATTATTATAAACATTTAACTAAAACATTTCACCCTTCGACTTCTTTTTGCCATCTCATCAAACAGTTTTAACCTTAAGATGGTACACATTTCCATTATTTGTTATTTCGCATTTGAAAACCGCAACTGTCGGTTACCATTCTCTAGCCCTTAAGGCCTGTCAAATCTTCAGACAACAAATCCCATCAGCTTTTGGGAGGCCTAAGAGAGTGTGGGCGATTCTGCCATGGCATCGGGAAAGTTCTTTTCTTTTTGCTCACATTTCCTACTCGTACAATCGACCGACCATTTGGCTTAAATATTTTATGCAAATTTTCAATGTAATAAAAATTTTTTCTTCTCAGTCCTCAGTCCACACCAATACACACATGACCGTGCAGGCAAATAAAAATTGATGCCAATGCCGTTTGTCTTTCAATACATTGTTCCTGCTTCCTTTATTTCCTATGTGTTTTTTTTTTTTGTTTTTGGCATTCCCCCTGACTGTGTGTGGGTATGTGTGTGCAATGATTTTCAATATGTCGCAACTCTCGGCCCGAACTTGCCGCTATCTGTCCACCCTCCTTCGAACATCCTCCCTTAACCCATGTCGTCCTTACTCGGACTTGCCTCAGAGCAGCTTGAAACAAATGCCGAGTTAATGCTTTGGCATATACGTCGCCATCGCCGATGTCGACTCGACAATGAATGCCGCATGGACATGACCTCAATTGCGTTGGATACAGCCACACACACATACACACATACGGTCACATATACATACATATATCGGTTTGATCGACATCAATACGCAAGGGCCGTAATATGTGTTAACCCGCCAGGACCTCGCGTCCTTTCACTCGGCATCTCTCTCCCGCAACCACACCGTGGCAGGAATAACACATTGCCATCACTGTCATCTTTTAGGCTGACAAGTGCGAGTGCCGGCATTACGAGACTTTGACGTCGATATCGACAAGTGCAGTAGTGGCAGTAACAGGCGTACAACACTGGAAGTTATGGGATGAGTTATAATTTCATTTTATGAAGAACCTATGACAAAGCCTAAGACTTTGTATAAAAAATATCAAACCAAATCTACCTTAAATATATGCCTTACCAGATTATCTACTTCATTTAATTAAAAGAAAAACCACAACTATAACCCTATCTTTTCCTCGGTGCATCACTCTCACCACTTTTCGAATTTTTCTTTGGTGCAGCTTAATCCAAGCCATCCCACTCCTCGTCACTCCATGCCACCATTTCGGTTTAACATATTGTCAGTTGGCTTACGTTAGGGTCTCATTCTTTTTGCGAGCTTGTGGGGTACGGATTTCTTCCTCTTTTGCTCTTATTCCTTTTTTTGGTGTGATGAAAATTGAGGCGTCGACACTTTGTGCCCAGGTAAATTCCCAAACCCATCCCAATACTCACACTCACCTGTCTCTCTCGACTGTCTGATGGGTTCATTGTTTTTCGTTTATGATGCTCTTAAATTTAATATTTAATTTTAATGTATTTTGCCAACAAAGTTTATTTTTTTGTGTGTTTGTTTTTGGTACACAACAAATGTGG